CCGACCGGCAACAACAACAACACCACAGAACAACGACGATCCGCACCGAATACGACGAGCTAACTCACTCGGTCGGGGCTCGGACCCACACATATTTTTCTGCGGCAGCTTAATCAGTACCGAAATACCTAAAAAACCGTCGCGTACCTTAGAGGCGATAATGTTTATCGATTCCACTTCGTCGGTTCCACCGTTCGCCGAGGACAGGTAGCGATTGTTATTGCATTTGATTACCAAATGAACTCTGAATCCCATGCGTTCGGCTAGCTGGGGCTCCGATGCTCTTCTGCTCTCTGGCGTCGTGGCTATGAGTGACACTTGTGCCCCTCAGCATCCGTGAGGGAATCTCGAACCCCATGCACCTCCATCACGGACCCTCCCTCTGTCGCCGATGGTCGTGGTGGTCGCAAACTTTTTCGTCTGAGTTTAGTCTTTTTTTCCGCCATCCGTCGTCGGAGAGTAGGCTTCCGACGAAGCCGACGCAGAAAGCCGACAGAGCAAGGCCCCAGAGAAAGGCGTACTGGCTGCGGCGGGGGCCTGAGGAGCGGACCGGAGGGGGGACAGGCGATCGGGGAGACGGGGCCTCCTTATCGGCAAACTCATTGCCTGCGATAAAAGGACGACGTCCTATCTATCGCAGGCAGCGCTATCTAATCGGAACCGACCATTCGACGACAATGAATGAAAAGTCGACTCGAATCTCTTCCCGTGCTCTGTTCCTCTCCCTCGGAGCTCTGGTACTCCCAGCTCCCCGCCGCTCCCCACCTCCGCCCGCGTTGGCAGTGCAGCCGCCGCTGCTTCCGACGGTGGTCCAACAATCTCTCTTTTCTTTCTCTCTCCTCGGCAAGCCGTAGAAAAACGGTCGACTCTTTTTGAATCGGACGTTCCGAGATTCTTTTTTGCTTTCCTCGTCTGGAAGCCCGAATCTGATCTATCTATCATCGAGCGGAGCTTGCGAGCCTGTCGAACGAAGCCATGGAGGCCCATATCTTCATCCGGCAAAAAGTTTGCTATCGAATTTGTTACGATATATTCGCTGTGAGATGTCTCCGTCGCCGTCCACGCTGTCATCGAGCCATCATGATGCGCGAAATGGGATATTTCATTCAATAGATAGGCTTCACCAAGAATGTAGGGAAGTCGTTGACAACTCACGTCGGAGCTCAAGCTCGCCTCATAACTCGCCTCAGGAGCGATTCGGCACGCCTGGAGATCGGCTTCTAAGCGCTGTCGTCGATTTATGCTCGATTCGGCTAGCGCATCGATGCGAGAAATTCAGCTGGGGGCACGAATATGTGTTAGCCAATACATAGAATGTTGGTGCATGGATTCGGTGATAAGGTTTCGGCTCTTCCCTTTGTCTCGATGCGAGATTTTCTGGCCGGAGCCTGGATCTCGCAGACAAACGGAGCAGATTATCGCTCGTTCAGCCATAAAACCATTTCGACTTTGCAAGCAAGCTCCTCTGTTACTGATAAGAATTCCTTTTCCACACTGCAACTGGGCGGATAGAGGGAGAAGCCGAGAGATAAATGCTGTGAGAGGGACCGAGAGTCAGCGAGAACGCGGAAGAGAGTGATGATGGTGGCGGCAGCAGCGGCAGTGGTGGTAGTAGTGGTGGTGGTGGTGCTGCTGCTTTAGTATAGGGTAATACCGAAGGAGTCGGGGGGAGGACTGTCGAGGGTAGGATGCGGGGCGACAAGGGGGATCTCGAGAACATGGGGCACCAGGCGGTGGGAGGGAGGAGGGGACCGTGGTGATCGTAGTTCGGGTCGGTAAATAATAGGAAGCAGGAAGAATAAAATGCTCAAATGACACATTTACATGTTCTGCGACGATAGCGAGCGCCACCATCATCTGGTTGGTGTCTCGCTCTTGCCTTGACTGAATCTGTGGCCATCAAAGATAGCTCCCCCCCCCTTCGCCCCGCTCGCCTCCTCGGTCGAACTGCATCATACATTACACCTACGAAAGCGATGGCGATGATTTTCAGCCTCATATTACGCAAGGGAGCCCGTCGCTCCTGGGTTGGAAGGCTCGATCAGAATTTCGCAGGATCCCTCCCCAGGTGAAAGGAGACTATGCATAAGGTGTAAGACAGCTCAGATCGTCGGATTCCTTCGGTCGGAGATCGGAACATTCCTCACGGTTCTCCGATCCAGCGACCGGTCGGCGCTCCCATCATTCAAGTGCTGGACACGGAACGATCCCGATATCTCGGACTTGCACTCCCACGCGGGTGGCGGTTGCGCTCTCAGTCCGCCCCTTCGGCTTCCTAGGGTTAAGGATTTGCTCTCTAGCGTCATCTTCATCCAATTCGATATCTCGCAGAGGACTCGGCACGGTAGCTGCGACCGTCGGCTGCTGCTGGTGCCACTGGTTTTTTGCATATCGCTTACCTCGTTAGATGGCTCGCCGGTCGGCTCTGGCTCGCCAGCCGCCCAGTCGGCCAGCGGGCTGAAATGGAAACGATTTTTGATAAGCCATCTCTAGAGCGATAAGATTCTAGCCATGACACATTCGAAAGTAGCCCCGAAAGAGCCAGTGAGTTAAATAATGTGGGCGGACGTTGATCTGTACTGACTCGTTCGCCGGCTCAATCGTCGCCGGCCGCGCTGTTTCCCGAGTGCCGCTCAGGAACTCCCGGCGCTCCGCCAACACTCTTTGCTGCTCAGGTTTGAAACTCTGCTGTGACTGCTTGAGGCAGCTCTCCCTGAAGATAGTGCTTGATTTATGGACAGAGGTCGTGTGTGTGTGTGTGAGAGAGTTGTGCCGGTGTGCGCACGAAGTTCAACGAAGCTTATATGTCTCGCATGACGTCGACATGACCTCAATTAGCGAGAAATCGCCGCTCAGAAAAATTGTCCCGTTTTCGGTAGTCCATGATCACTGAGGTCATTGTCATCTGCCTTCGATTGGGTCCGCGCACCATCGAGACTCACAGGGAGCAACTCGCTCTCTATTTACTTAGGTCTGAATTTCCTCAGAACTCCGATCGGAAGACAATCCCCACAATCGTATATAGAGCGCCCCCAGATGAATTGCCGTGGCAGGCAATGGGTTCGATTGGACCGGATGTCTGGACGATGCCGTTGACATCGACAAGTCGACCGGCTCGAAGGCTCCCTCTCGCCGGACTTGCCAAGTTACGAAATCCGGGCAAACCGTGAGCTCGAGCTTACGGCCCCGGAATGAAGGGGGAGCCCCATGTATTCCATTTTATGGAGTTTCCGCCCGTGGAGAAATGTTGTCACAGTCATAAGGCATATCGTGGGGGAGCCCCATGCGACTTCACAAGGTTAGTAAAACTCATTCTCCGAGGGGAGACAGAGACAATAATTTTAGGTTTGCTGGGCGCTATCCGGCGAAGAAGACATTCCTAGCACTGGATTTTCATCCTCCCGCTCTGGAACACCGCTCGGAACTCAGCGGGCCCGCTAAGCTCTGACCGCATCCCTTGACGATGGGGAAACGATCTGACTGGAGGCGTGATAATCAAGTCGGAAGGTGACCCGCGGTTCCGATCCGATCGGCGACTGACAGAAGCACGCGATAAGCATCCTTCGTCAGAAAACGACTCGGAGGAATCTGCAACACTCGGCGATACATAATAGCTCTCACGATACCTGCGTCAGCACCTTTAAGCGAGCGACAACGTCCTACTAGATAAAGCGATCATTCGAAGCGACTCACCGGCGCGGCGAAAGGACGGCCGCTAGATCGATCGCTCGGTCGGTCCGTCAGGCGGACGGACGGACGGGCGGGCGGTCGACCGTTCAGACTGTCGATCCAGATTAGATAACGGCTGCTGATAACGAATTCGGATAAGGAAAAAGCAACGGATAACGGCAGACATACAAATGCAGATATAGAGTTGATACGCGATGTCCTGACGCTAGCGATAAAAGCCGCCGATAAGCATAACGATTTTCGGCTGAATGATCTGATGGCTCTCTTGTATTCTCAAAGTGTTGAAGAGACCACTCTACGAAGACGACCACGTATCGATCGGTGACGTCGGGTTCCGGCCCGTTCCGTCCGACAGAGATTCAGCGATTTCCGCGGCGTCTTTGCGATTCGCGACCCAGATTCCAAACAGGGGGAATTTCTTCTCCAAAGGTCAAGTTGTTTCCTCTCTTCGCGTGGAAAGGCTGAGCCTCGAAATACCTACCCAAGGAGAAGAGCAGTCGAACAGATGAAGGTCAGCTGATGGTTTTGGCCGTGCGTTCGTTTGTACGTCCATCAGCGGGTACGTACGTACGTTCGTCCGACGATGGTTTCGTCCGCTGGCTCGCTGTCCGAAGCCGGCGGCTGCAAGAGACTCCTGGGCCCCAACCCAGTCGTCGTCGTTCTCCATCTCAACTATCAGGCTGGCATCGCAGGCTCGCGAGTGTGCTCCCAGATAAGCGACCTCATGCTCTGCTATCGGCCATATATTCGCCTTATCGCGCGCTGCTCGGCTGTCCCTAAAAGAATCTTATCAGCTCGGAGCACCCTCTCATATCTCTCACCCGGCACGGACTCCTTTCCCTTGCGGGGCCGTCTGCTATGTCGCTGCTTCAGAGCGGAGCCGACAGCCGAGAGGAACGGAGCTCTGCCGCAAGCGCCCGAGAGCTTCGAACGCAGAGTTTGGGCTCTCTGGCTCAGATCGTGCTGTGACGACGGCTTACCCAGACTTGGATTATTATCTGTGACTCGGACGACAGTTCATCGTTTCGCATGCCCTCTCCGATATCGGAAAGCTCGACGGTGCTCTCCGGACGTGAATCAATGAGCGAGTCCGACTGTCTCTCTCATCGTCAGACAAGCTGAGAGGGAGAGTTCAAAACTGGTCAAAGAGTGTCATCACGCTGGAAATACCGCCTCGAAAACTAGGGGAGAGTTTCGTTCGTTTGCCAACATGTGACACCGGTGTGAGGATGCCGGGGCGGCTCTGCAGAAAATCATGACGGAAGGCTTCGACCGCACATATTAGAAGCGATGCCGGCTCGTCTGGAATGATGTGCTCGACTATCGTTGGCGGCATGAAAGAACTCTTCAGACTCGGACCCGAGACGGTGTGTTTCAAACTCGCCGCAGCCTCGCGGCTCGCAGCGGGGGAGGAACAAGTCACCAAAGTCGAGGCAAATGATGGAGAGGAGGACGATGATATCCGTGAGTGTGAAGCACGTGTCAGCCTTTCTTTCCCTCTGTTTCGAGTTTGCCGGAAGAATTATTCTTCAAGGAGTTCGGGACCAGTAGTGGAGGCAGGTGTGAACGCAGGGAGTGTTTGATAATACAATTATTTTCAATGCGATAGGTCAAGCTTTGATCGCCCACCCAAACTGGGACATGGTAACCCTCCACATTCGCAACGGGAGGCCATGACCAGACCGACGACGTTCTGCGTGATCCTCCACGCTCAAGCGTGGAACCGCGGAGATTTTGTGGGAGGGGGTCACTCGCGAAGCTTACCGCAAACGCGATCGATCACGTATACGCCCGTTGGGCCAACATTCAGGCCTTAGATTCGAAATCGGCCTCCGAATCGCCATTCCGCTTGTGACATCCGGAGGTTTTTCCCCTTCCGCGCTTCAGGCCGACACCGACACTAGCATTGGTCGGAGACAGATTCGCTACCAGGAGTATCGGAAGTTTCGTTCCCATAGAGCGCGGAATCCTCGACCTCACCGAATGTCCTCATCTCTTGTTTTTAGTGCTAAGTGAGAGACTGGATTGAAGACAATTTCTAGGAAATGAAGCGTAGCCAAATGGATGGGTTTGTGAACGTGCAGTATCTTTGGCAGCCGACTCGAAGCGTGTATATCAGGTGATTGTCGTCGCTGCCATTATTGCCGTTGTTGTGAGCGGCGGTGTCTTCATCTTCACTCGACGATCCGGCGAAGTCCATTTAGAATAACGACGGTGTTTCTCGCTCGCTCTTCGCGCGCATCCATCGCCGCCGCTCGGTGTTTCGTCAGCTTGAAATAGCCTCAGACGGCCCGGGGAACCTTTGCAGTTTAATCTTTTATCACGTTCTTATCGTAAATGACTTATCTAGCTTCTGCAGTGGCGAGCGCTCTTCTGCTCTGTCAGTGTCGAGACGTTTTTGGGTCCAGCGAGATTTAAATGTGCTGAAAACAGCCGTCCGTATGCCAAGAACATTCTCAGACAGCGAAAACGAGTCAAAATTCTCGAAGAGCCTTTACCTATCCGTGAGCGAGCAAGGGACCCACCGGTCCCTCTTCCACGACAATCCGAGCCACACCAATGACGGAGACGATCATGTAAGCCCGCAAGCCGCTCGGTAGCAGGGTCCTTGCGCCCTCCGACGGTTCCGTGACTTGTACCATGTGGGGATCGCGAGCCGCTGTCAGTTTTTCTCAGGTGAGCTCCGGGGAGATTCCGCCAATTTTCTGCCGAGAGCACGCTGGCGCGATCAAAAACTGTAACACAGTCGGAAATTCGGAATGACGGGAGTGTCGTCGCGGACAGATGCATTGCACGGAATGACGGACCGAAAGCGAGAGCATCGTCCATCGTGGCTCCCTCGTGGGCCCGATCAGACTGAAATTCATTTATCAAGCTCTGACTGACAGAGCGGGAATTTTTAAGAACGCCGACGCTCACGCACAAAATTCTCATGACTATACGCATACACAAAGCGTAGCAGGCCACAGAAGCTGTGACGACTGCCGCCGCGCAAAGTGATAACGCTTACTTATAGAGATAAGCCGACGACTTCCAACGGCAAATGACTCACTGCCGCCAGTTATCTGTGTTTTGGACGTAAATAGCTTGATTCCCGCTCAATCATTCAATCACTGACGCGAGTCCTTAACCTCACGCTCACCGGGGCGAACCCCGCGGACGAGCTAGACTGGAATTATTTCTCTGGGACGATGGCGAGCTTTTAAGAACATTTGTACGTGGAAGGGCTTCTGCCGTTGCGGCTACTATTCTTGTTGCTAATGACCGGAACGCTATCGTTCTCCCCATCGCCGCAGTGCTCCTGATGGACTGGAACGAGATCCGAGCCAAACAAGCGAGCACGAGATGCGATTAGAGGCAAAAAGTCGCGAGCGATGTCAAAAGGATAGAAATCCCCTCTCGTTCCCTCTTTTTTTTCTCTATCTAAATCTGATTTGAAACGCATCCGCGGTATGCGCCCGATGCCGATCGCGATAAATCTCATGATGAAGCCCACGGCCATAGCGAATATGACGTCGATGCGGACTGGGGGGGAAAAACACGCCGCTTCCGACATTGAACGCACTCACGTAGACAGATACGGCACAAATCCGAAGGTATCGATAGAGCGCTAGTTTGTTCGTTCAATGTCCGAGGCACTTGTCTCGCTCGTCGACTGGCCCGCTCATTCACCGCAGGCGGTCAGATGAGCTTACGAATGTTTGAAACATTCGGCCGAAGTACCCGCTTTTATCTGACCAACTGTTGCCTCTGATGCCGAGGCTTAACACGACGGAACGACCTTCTGCGTAAAGTACGGTCTGGCCGCTCTCATGGTCGAGTCCGGCGGTAAAGACGCCTGCGACAATGGTACCGCATCTCAGGACTACAAGCTAAGCGGATTAAATATGTACGTACGCTCGGTACAGACAAGACGGGCGCCAGAACTACATCTTCCGCGAGACAATTCGTAAATGTTATCGCCGACTAATCGGACGGCGCGGCGGAACGATTAAGACGATGCGGATCATCCGGCATGGCTTTCCTTCGCCGATGTTTGTAACTACGAGCCCGGAGTCTGATCGTCGCCTGGGATTCCGACGATGGTCGATGAGTGGGGACCAGAAGAAACGAGCGTCCTCTTCAGGGCGACTTGGTGTCTGAATAATTGTTCTCGCGGAGCTTCTCGTTTTCCGCTCGAGGTTTTTCATCATCGGCGCGCGGCCTCCAGTACCTTGTGATAAAAAGGCCCTTTTCGGCCGCCACTGTCTGGAGAAGGACGTCCGAACCTGCAAGCTCGCCTGCCCATCCGCTTATCGGCTTATCAGCGAAATCGTCTTATCGCTTTTTAATCTTCGGTATGCGCGCTGCTTATCTATCAGTGACAGCAGCAGTTCTTATGCCGTGGCTATCATTTTCGGGGTTTCTGCTGCCGCTGTCACCGTTGCTGATTCTAATGCTCTCACCCTTGGAGCCGTCTTCGTCGTCGCTTGTGTTGCCGGCAGCGGTCCTTTCTTACATCACAGGGAAACTCCAGGAACTGACGCGGTTGGTCTGCCACCCAGCGATCTTCGTCTGCTGTTCTGTCTCATCTTTTCTATAGCGGCGGCGGCGGTACGGTGGCGCACAGACCGAGAAACCAGTCAGTCAGCTCGACGACAGGCGAGCAGGCAGGCAGCTAGATTCCGATGTCGTCCACGATAACGGCTACGAACTGATAAAGGCGACTGTGCCATCGAGATAAGATTTCGCTCACAAACAGATTCTCGGAGCGAGCGATAAACCGCAACAGCAGCAGCACTGAACAGACGATTAAATCGGACGTAATGACGACAGCCGAGAAAATAACAGAAAGCGGTAGAGCTACAGCTCATAGACGGATGGGGACGATGCGAACTCTTGACTAGTGTTTCTGGGCTTTCCCAAACGAGTTGAACCAGACATTCATCCGGATCCGGAATATATCTAATGAACGCTTTTCCGGCCTTTGAAACGGTCGCGGATTTCGTCCTCGGTCGTCGGGAGTCGGGAGATGACGTTTAATTTATTATTACTCATCACGTCATCACCTTCCTCTGCATTGGAACTTGTTGCGAAACAATTTCGGAGCTCGCGCGATCGCTGGCTCCCTTTTCCCCGTGCTCCGAGAGACTTGCGAGGACTGGATGGAATCGGGAGTAGGGCTGTAAGATTCAGGCGCACTGTTTGTTCTCGTTCTTTATCTGACGACATTCGATGTGATTGCGGCATTACACTCGTGTTCCAGGGAAATACATACGCTCTCGTCGACTCAATCAAGTCGTTTAAGTATCACGAGAGAATTCCCACCCGCTTCTCCTCAATCGGACGCGACTGAGAGTTCTGGACCGTCGGAAGCGGCGATTGGACCTGCTTTTCGCCGAAACTAGATCATCCATCGAGTAGGGCAATGAGGGGAGAATATGATGACCGACAACATCGCCAAATTCCTGGGGATTCCCTCGGCCAGAGCGAAGAAATTTTTCGGCTCCAATGACTTCATATTGGCATTTGTCACGCCGGATGACACGCTCTAATGCGCTGAACCGAGTCACGATGCGCAGAAATCAGTCAGTCCGGATCCGAAGATATGGCATATACGCGGGGTATTTATTTTTGTACTGGCAGCGCTGTCTGGTGAGAATGAGACGAACACATGCAGTCATCCACAAAGGAGCTCCTCAATCCGCCACAGAGGGCTCTGGCATCGTTCTTGCAGCATAATGGTGCCAACGTGGGCCGGCTCATGAGAGAGGAAAGTGGTAAGGGAGCATCCGATAGGAGGTCTCTGGGGCTGTTCAAGGCGGAGAATCTGCCCGAAGTGTCTCTCAGTCAGTCGATTCCGGGCATGTCGCTGGAGTGAATTGTCTTCATAAATATGAGAACTTACCAGAGCTCATCACTGCTGCTTTTAGAGTCTGAGACCCCCTCCCGAGCTGGGGTCCGCCTCAGAGGAGCAGGAGTTGAAAAAGTACATCTCTGTCAACCCAATCAACGTTCGACAAATGTCGAGGAATGTCTCTCCCAGATACGGAGTTCCCTCCGATTTCACTTCTCCTTTAGGATGATCCTCTACGGAAGAAATGCTTCCTCAGATTCTCCCGGGAGGTGAATGATGACAAATATCTCAAGGATTTCGCTATTTCAGAGTTAGCGGATGATGAGATCGATCGCCTCGGGGGGAACTTGCGTCTCCCCGGCGAAGTTCTCCGGCTGGCGCATCTGGACAACGTGAGTGGAAGACTTGCTGTGAGAACCCGCATTCAACTCGATGGAGGCACCCTGTTTGGACCCTTCCGAGCGAGTCTGGTACCCCTCTCAGGAACCACTCAAACAACCACCGGCTCCACGGTCTGTGATATAGAAGTAAGCGAACCCCCGATTTGAGATAGGCACAACAGATTTTTCACCGAATGTGGCCAGTCCCGATCTCAGGACGACGAAATTACATATTCTGTAACTCCTCAGGTTGTCGTGGACGGAAAACCAATGAATCTCCGGGTTGACGAGGAGACCGGAGGCTGGCTGCGATGCATCCAGATTCGCAACGATCCCAACGCTGAGGAAGGCGATGGAGCCTTCGCCAATTGTCTCATTGCTTACCAAGGTACCATTGGCATGCTGCCTGATGTTCTTTCGATCAGAGAGTCGAGCTTTATCGGAGCCATAATTTGGTAATACAGACGACACAGGCTGAATATCCGATCGAAATGAGAACGGATGTTTCTCCTTCCAGACGGTGAAGTATGCTTGACTCTGACGGCAGACGTAGCGCCTGACGAGTCCCTCATAGCGGACTTCAAGATGGTCTTGAACAGAGTCAAGGTCGAACAAACCACCGAAAAAGTTGAATCTCGGGAGTCGCCCTCAAGGTAGGCTCGACCGCTACCAGGCCAGCGCCGATAGAGCGCCTGTCGGCGGTTCCACTTGTGAATCAGAATGCAAATAAGCGAGACATCCCAAAAAGTTTCAAAGACGTATCACGTTTCTTGAGAAATGACAGTCCTTCATTCCGCAGCTCCCCACGACCACCTCCATCTCCAGAATGCATTCTTCGAGTCGACGGTGACGAAAGCGAAACTGTGGCGAAGACATCCGTGGCGGCCGCTGCAACGGCGGCTGCGTCGAAAACAGTTCCTGATAAACAACCAGGTGAGTCCAAGTTGTTCGCGACCATTTTTGAGTTGTTCACTCCCTGGAAAACTCGCGCTTTTCCTTCCGGAGCCCCTTTTTCATTTACTTTCCGTAGAGACGGCTCGGGTGAAGTTCGCGATACTGTTCGTGGGATTGTTACCGTAAGTTGACAGACAGAGGATCCGTGTAGAGTTTGGAGTCTGCTGACTCGTTCTTCTAGACCTAATAGAAGCTTCACGCTGGCCGGTTCCGCCTCAGAAGTTGCTTGGCCTCGATTTCTGACCGCTCGAGCACCTTCACGGAAGAGGTTAGAGCTTCGGACAACCCTGACATCCGGGTGCTCCTATAGATTGATGGATATTATCCTCGAATGAAATCGATACACGAGTAGTTTTCGGTGCTTCGGCGCTGGATCGGAGGTCGATGGCACTGCAGATCAGTGCCTTCATCAGCCCTAGACGACTCCTCGAGACGTTATACTGATAGGCTGATAGGTAATCGAAGATGCACGGCCGCTCGACGTAAATTTCCGTATGTCCCCTCTCACCTCTCATAAGCCTCTCCACCTCCGTCAAGCTGCCGCCTTTTCGTGATTCGGATCTGTTCCGACCAGTGGTATCTTAGGAGCACCTCAGTATACTCTTATCCTTGGGGATTTTCTGATGCATATTTGGGCGGCTACACTGGGGAACAGCCCCACACAGACTCCGCTGTCCTGGAGAGCGCACTCGCGTCCCTGTGGCCCCAGGATTCGGCTGCGCAGAAGCACAATTATAGCCCTACAGCGAGGGAGGCAGTAATCTATTCAGGCCTCGTCATAATCAGATACGGAGATGTAATCTGGTGACTCGATACCATGCTGGAAATCTTTCCACGGCCGATATTCACTCAGATAGAAAAAGGATGACGGAGACGCCTCGCTCGAGGGGCTGTGGGAAGCTTATCTCCCGGTATGCTCAATCCCGCTGATTCGGACGAAAATACTTCTTCTGCCCTGCGCTTTCCCGGCGTCACTCGGTCACTAAATTATATCATCACCATTACCATTTGTCGAATCCCATCCATTACCTGGCGTGACGAGTAACGGCTCCTCAGCCGTACTTTATCCCTTTGGCTCGACGGAGAGATTTCTACAGTTGTCGTGGACCAAAGAGCAGTCCTCCCATTCCGTCGGTCCCGAAGTATTTCTCGCAGATGAGACGGTATAGAAACGTTGGTGCCAACAGGATGGCGATTGAAATCACGCGCCTTTAGCAGCTCCTAGTACTGGCGAATGTCGCTATGAAAACCAGGCGCATCATTCAAATGAACGTTTCTCGCGATTTCCCGACCTGCTCTTATAGCTGGGGATGCCTCAGGATTCGTGCGGAATCTGGTCTGACTGAGCAATGCATAGGTCAAGCTCACATTGAGAGGTCAAGCATCAGCGCTCAGTCGGAACTTGCTCGATCGTTCGAGATAGTGAGCGAACGAAGCGCTGCCAAACCCCAAATAGAAACAGTGCGTCGTTGGCGAGCATCGCCTACGAAACAGAAATAGCGTTGGCGTCAACCGTTGGAGAGGCCAGATAGCTGAGCGTAACCAAAGAATCAGTGGTCTCGGTCCCATTGCGTCTGGCGGCTTAGAGAGTTGACCACTCAACCCAATGTCGGGCACGGAAGAGGCGCGTCGCGACGGCGAAAGTGACGACCTTATATGGCAGAGTATAGGAGCGTGACAATGAGAGTGGGACGGTGTAGCACGTCCGACTCGTTGTCAAGGCAAGGGAGCCACCGGGGTTAATGATCGGCGACATCACCCCTCGGCATTTCGGGTATGCTCCATGTCGCTCACTCGGAATCGTCTGACATGAGAAGATCTGTCGAAAGGCTGTTCAGGTCTCGTTTAGTCTATCGCAGTTCTGAAAACTAGGTTGATCCATGACGCACTCTCCACGAGTGTCCCTGACAAAGTCGGTGATTCGTAGAATGACAAGTTTCCAGAAAGTGATTGCGATCAACCACAGACTACGATTCTAATACCAAATCTCTGAGGAAAATTCCCCTTGACATCATGCTACTCACGCGAACCCATATGGGGCTGATATCCACTCTCCGGGCTCTACTTTCGGCTTTCGGTATTGATGAATGAATGAATGAATGACATCGAAAAAGAGGGATACGCTCCTGAGTGGAATATTCCCAAGAAATAATTGATAACAGCGAATAAATCGATGACTAGCAGCATGATGATCTGAATAATCAGCGTGGCTGGGACTCGAAACCCTAAAAGTTTATGGATCTCTTCGCCGCTCACCGACCGCACCGGCAACTCCTCGACCTTGACGACGGCTTTTTGACTGAAACGTGAATAGTCGCCCGGTCCAGGGAGCCTGGGAGATGGACTATCGCGACTCGAGGTGTACAGGGTGGAGAGACATTTCTTTTAGTCCTAATGAATATAACTCGATATAGAAGCAGTGGTAAGGTACAGCTGCTGGAAACCGCTGTAACCCTATCGCTTCTATCAAATCTTATCCGTGCGATATTCTACCGCCTCAGCATATCTTGTATTTTTGTCTCTTATTAGTCGATCTCCTGGTGAACCTTGATCGTCCGGCGCAACTCTATATCCTTCCTTATGACGTCCTATCGGAACTGAGTGCGCCAGATCGACCACGGATGATTGCGGGCTACCTGTCTTGGTGTCGACGAGAGACGTGTATACGGACCGAGCCGGCCGATGCTCCGGAACTCTGCGGGCGCGGTGGCAAGGATCCACGGTTCCCCGATTCGACGATGCGCTCGGACTGACTCCTCCGGGTGACTTCCAATCGTTTGAAATTCATTCGAATCCAGAATTTCGACTGGGACTCATATGACGATATGACCGTCAGGAGCCAATGGAACCCCAGGAAGATCAGTCCGAATCAGCTTCCTCGGGGCCCACGGCTCCGCGATGCCGATTCTTACCGAATTTGACGTCTTCCGACTATCTGCCGTTGCTTTCTCAGGGTTCCAGAGATAAAATACATCTAGATAAGCTCGAGGCGATAGGCGTGTTTGGCAGCCTTCTCGCCGGGCTTACTGATATCCGACGGCGATACGCTGATAACGAACCTTCTCACCCCAGTGTGGCTTGACTGAGCATTCAAAGAAGCTGGAGAGCGCGCCTTCCAGCTAGTGTGCTATTTTCTCACCGTGAAGCATCACATCATTGTCTGATCCTCGACAGCTTGCCCTCATCTTGAGGCTAATCAGGATTTTCACCACAGAACTGAGTGCTACTTCCTGATTCTATCGACGGCGCCAAGTTTCGACTCCTAGGGGGTGACCCGTGTCGGCGATCGCGGTTCTTACCAGCAGCTGAGACAGGGACTCGAAATGGGGGTGAGACGAGAGCGTGGCGACTTTGTCGATATCATCTCTCTGCTTCCTAGGCAAGATCACCGCTGAGTGGGGTGCGCGTCTGCTGCCGGACGAACTGGATATAAACTGAGGAGCCAGTGTGCGGCAAAGGGTTCGGTTGTGAGACGAGGTTTCGTCTGCCGATCCACGTGAAGTGCAGAACTCTATGTTTGTTAGTGAAACTCTCTGGTGCAATCAGTACATCGATCTTATCCTTGCTGGAAAAGTGGATTACTGTGGACTCATTTGAGCTGTCAGAAAGTGTTCAAATCTCGGAGATTCTCAGTGACTGAAGCGAACTCTGCCGACGGGAAGGGAGAATCATTCGTCGAGAGGTCACCGGTATCCCTTCTTCCGGAAGTCTTCATTCCGCCAGACAAAACGGCGATTCTCCGAGTGCTAACCTCAGCGTCGAGGAGGCGCTATCTGAAGACCCGGAAACCGAAAGAGAGACGAGGAACATATAAGAGCAGCCATCAGTTCGGAAAAATGTGTCCCCTCCTGAACTTTATTGACTGGACCTACCTGACGAAAATGCAGAGGCAACACTATTTGATGCGCGACTACATCTGATCTGGTCGAAATCGTCGAGATCTTGGGAAATCCGAGTGTTTCAGCGCATTGCTGGAACCAGGTTTGCTAGACGTCGCCGCCGCCCTCGTCAGCTCATCACGTCTGGTCGCCGATCGACAGACATCTGCCGAGAATCGAGTCTGGCCATTGAAAGCCGAAATCGAATCTATTTCCGCGAACAGACATTCGACCAATTTCCATCTATGGGCACTCTCAGTTGCAGTGAGAGCACTTCGGAAAAGAACCCGTCAGAGCCGTTGGACCTATCAGGTAGACCATAAGCGGCTCATCAGCCCATTCGTCCTCTCTATTAGTATATTTATTCAGATGGAGTTGTTCCTCGGTGACCCACTTATTTTCTCTACTTGTTATCTGGACGCGGAATCGCTGCCTCCCTAAATCCACAGCGTTCGACTCGATTTTATCTGCAGTCGATTGTTTGTATACTGACGAACAATCCCAGAATTCCATCTTGGTTGCATAGATAGGCGTGAGTCGCGTTTCCCTGGCAGGATGCAGGCCCATCCCAGGCCAGGGATCCCAGGTAGGGTTTGGGGAGTGATTTGCGCTCGGCTAAAGCTACACGCTGACGAGCCACCAAGCTCCTTAGAGCGCTCGCTCATGCAGTCCGCCAGCCGATACATAAACTCCCAGGCTAGCCGGACAGCCACTTTTGTTATTGTGCTATCAATGCCGATATGATATCAACGCGGGCTAAAAACGTTTAGATAAAAGCCACCTCGAATCAGGGAACGCGTACTTGTGGATGAGCTGAACCATTCAAAACGACCACAAACGCGTTAGGGCCGCTATGATGAATAGGGCGATCGAAATCGCGATCAACCAAAGGTCGAAGTCCTCCTCGATCGATCTCTGAGTTTCCCCTATCGAAATCAGATCCGGAAACTCCGAGAAGCATCTCTCTCAGGATCGACGCAGTGACAAACGCACCGCACACGTGAATCAACACGACTTCACCGTTGCGAATCGGAGCGAGGGATCGGGTTGGCTGAAATCCGAGCTATCGAATCCTTTCCGACGGAAAGTTCGACCAGTGGTCAATGCTGGTCAGCTGCTGATCCCCCTTCGATCCGGGACTTCCCGCGAAGCCACGAGGCAGCGCTTAGCAGCCTTATCTCTCGCACACAATCGGGGTCCATAGATAGTTCACACTCGAAGCGCGGTGAATGCCAACGAGCTCACCAAGTACATAGCGAGAGCACTTTAGAATGCTGCGGGTTCGTATCGCCCCTAAGGTCTCCTGCGCTCGAACTGGCTTACTGACCCATGTTCACGATGATCAGATTGACAAGACAATCTTCACCTGCAGCTCGATAATGATTATCCTCGGAGATAGGATAAGAGTAGAACACGGCGATAGCTTACCACACAGATAGCACTGACCGATTTGAGGAAACAATTATACTCTCGAGTGCCTACTCCGCCAATTCTGCCCATGATCGATCTTGGCTTCTATGCCGGAATGCGATAACGATGCTATAACGAACGAGGGTCGATCGGTCCGTCCGTCCGCATAACGATCGGTCAAAGTCCCACGAACTACAGCCGTCTCTTTTTATAGCTACAAAACATTTTGATTTTGTGCGCAGTAGACGGATACCCGTTTCTAATCGAACTCCATCAAAGGTCTCTTGAAATATTCTCCGAATAGACTTATCCGTGAGCCCCTGTCGATCTCCACAGATCGTTCGATGATCGTGTACGACGTCAATCTAGGGTCTAGAGTTCGATCATGATCGTGTCCGAGCCTTGTTACAGTTTTCCATCTCGGGAGTCGCGATTCATCAGAGCTCCATCATCTATTATTTCCGATTCCTAATCTCGGATTCTCGTATTACAGCCTTCAAGTGCGGCAACTGTGGAATCTGCTTCAGCAGTCCTCGCAATCTCGCGGCTCATACGTTTTACTACTGCACGCAGCGATCCGAGCAGACCGCGAAACCGCCTGGTATGTCTCTTCTAGGAGGATTTGCTTTCAATTAAACGCTTAGGGCTAATCCCGGTGGAGATTCTGGCGTCTGGTTGGAACGTTCCCAATTCCGTCAGGATGTGGCTCTCGCGCGCATTTTGGCCCTCCTGAAGGAGTTCCCCCCTCGCAGTTCCCCTCAACGGAACTGAAGGAGCGGGAGTCGCCGCAGATCAATCACAGTCTCATCCTCGAGGGCCACTTCGTGAAACCGGATCTAATTCAAATCGTCTCGGTTACGGTTTTCGGAAAGATCATCCGATTTTCGCAATAACCTTCGGCTCGAATTCGAACTTTGAACCGAAATCCGAGTCACGGAATGAAACGATCAGTCGTCACACGGGAGATTAGCCTGTTTCTGCGATGCAAAGTGGACGTGCTGTCCCTGTTCAAATTATCGAATCCGTCGAATGACTAGGATTATCCAAGGCGCTCATTTTGCTACGATGCTTCGAGTTTTGAGGAAAATCTCTTGAAGACCGAAAAGCACCGTCAACTCGCTTACGCGTATCGTTTGGAATCTTACCACGGTCGTCTAAGTCGAGGCAGTGTCGAGATTCGTCGACTCCTTACGATTTGCGTTTACACGCTACACGATAAAGATCTGTTCGTCATCGGTTCGGCATCGGAGTCGGTCGCCAGGAGGCCAAAGATCCCTGCTTGGTGTTGCTTTTCCCTCCCGCTCTCTTCTCTCGTATAGATCTTTGATTGTGAGCTCCATGGCAGAGAGCTACGAGACGCCGGGAGAAAATTATCCGAACAAGCATATCGCTCCCACGCATGTCATTCTTGAAATGTGCTCCGATAAGATGATGCCGACGCGTCTTCAGACCCCTCGAGCTATGCGCCAGAGGGAAATTCCAACCGAATAATTTCATCGAGGAGCCTGTCTAGACAAGTTTGGAATTCCGCTGACACCACCGCTTGTTTTTCTCCGTTTTCCAGAAGGTCGCGGGTCACCGAGTCCACCGGCAGTTGCTGCTCAAAATAAATCCGAGATGATTCTGTCGGAGACTCCGGTGAGCATCAAACGCTCTCTGAGTCCTTCGACGGATGACGACAGACCGCAGTCGAAGAGCCCGAAATCGGACCGAGTTTTTCAGTGTCCGTACTGCACGTACACCACTGATCGGAAGGGCAGCCTCACGCGCCATCTACGCGTGCACGTCGTCACGCCCGAAGACGTTGTGCCGCTCGTGACGCCCGCGTCGGCTCGCTACTGTGCCAACTGCGATATCCAGTTTACGTCCTTCAAAACATACACGGTCCACAAGCAATACTATTGTAATACCCGCTCGGTGCAGAAGCCCGCGAGTACCGGCGCCACAACCCCTTCACCTAGCGGTACTCCGAACAGCACCTCAACGAAAACATCCGCTCTACCGTCGGTGACGCCCCAGCAGCTGGCGAACCAGCCATTATTCGCTGCCATTTCAACGAACCCCCTGATCCTAGTACCTTGTGCGTACGTTCCCGGGTCCGGTCTAGTACCAATACAAGCAGGTGCCACCACGCCCGATGGTACGCCAATCACGTCTGGGGCAATCCAGATCGCAGCTGGAGCAGCGATGAGCGGAGCGGTTTCGGTGGGCTCGCCGTCGCCTCGGCCCACATCTGCCAGCCGGGACAAAGAAGAGAGCATTTTGCCTGATCGATCAACTCCGAAAGATTCTGACCACAGGCTGCTCCCGGAAAAGGATTCGGGAGAGCTCAAGAAGGAGTTCGACTCTGCTCCTCTGGACCTTTCCACTACCCCCAAGAAGGAAATCAGAGAAGACTCTAGCGTGAGTGTCCGATAATTGCCAGCCGCGGATTCCACCGGCGATCTGGTATTAATTTTCCCCAGATGCACCTCTCCCGAAGACTCCTCGTCTAAGGGTGCCTCGATCATTTTCCAGACCCCAGGAAGCATCTGCGATCTCTCGATGGGCAGTCAGGATGTCGACATGGCCACGGATCTCTCGAACAACATTAATGGCCAGAAGCAGGTGAGTCGAGTTAGATTTTCCCCGGTATGGATTCAACCGCTATAAGATGAGACCCGTCTCGATATATTGAGGAGAGTACGACTGAGCTCCTGTTCTTGAATCTAGGGCACATTCCGCTGCGACGAATGCAATATCATGTTTTTCAAGTTGGAAAACTTCGCTGCGCACAAGCGACACTATTGCGCCGGGCGTCAGCAGAAGTTGAGTGTATCGAGTGACAACCACGAGGATGATGCAAAGAACGTTCTGTCGAATATGAAAGATAACTTGGTGGCTTCCCACAATCGAACTCCATCACCGCGATCCTCCTCTGAGCGTGTTTCGACCACTCCGAAGAGTGACTCTGAGAGGACTCCGACTCCGAGCGTGCAGTCAACTTCACCAGCCACCCAACAGGTTATGGTGAGTAAACTCTAGTACTCAATGGCTCGCGTGCAAAGAAGCTCCAGTTTCCTCCGCGTCTCATATTTGGGGAGACCTTCGGCTCCATATATTTGAACTCCAGAATTCTTATCGGTCGAGTCCCTTATCAACGAGGCGTCCTCTCCATATTCAGAGGAGGTTCCAAGATTTAGGCACCCTGCGATCCATCTGAGTTCGCGAGAATCTAATGAGTTCCCTCGGTTCTCCGCAGCTCCCCACGGTCGGTTCCCAACCCGTGTTCCAATTCTACTGCATCGCCTGCGGGATCAAGTTCACGTCACTCAACAACCTGCAGGCTCACCAAACCTATTACTGTCCCAAACGCGAGGTGCTCCAAGGGACAGTTCGAGTGGGGGTCGTGTCTCGACCCGTGATGGAGATGCAGTGTCCGAAGTGTCGCATCACTTACCCAAACGAGGACCAGCTAAAGGCCCATGCGTGCTGTGCCCGTAAATGTCCTTACTGCGAAGTGTACTGCTCCTCGCACTCCGCCGCCCAACGCCATTTAGCAACCCACGCAGGAATTAAAGCGTTCAAATGTACTCTTTGCGGTTACAAAGGGCACACCCTGCGTGGCATGCGGACCCACGTTCGCATTCACGTGGAGAAGGGCGCTCTCATACAGGAAGAGAACTTCATCGTGTGCGTAGGCGAGAACGGTGAACCCATACCGCCGCCTCCGTCTGGTGCCAACATTATGCATTTCCTAGCGGCTAAGAGTCCTTCGTTGGACCCCTCGTCCGCTGCTACCGACCGGAGCTCCGAGCAGGCGTCTAGGGAAGACTCGCTCGAACAGCGTCTTCTCAGTGCGACGTCCGCTGGAGTTTGTCTTTCGCAAGGCGCTCTGGCCCTGTGCCAGAACCCTAAAAGTAACAGTAGTCCCACAGTCGTATGCGAAAACGTGGGAGTCAACCCTCCTCCTCCCCCTTCTTCTGGCGCATCCGCTGATAGAGAGAGACTGAGTCCGACGATGAGCAACAGCAAGGGTTCTCCTGCGTCATCTTCGGCCGATCCTGCAGGCAGTAGTCCTGAGTCGCCGGTCAAGCCTGAAATGCACCACTGGTGCAACTTCTGCGGCTATTCGTCAAGCTACAAGGGTAACGTGGTTCGCCATATCAAGCTCATCCATCGGGATGTCTTAGCAGGGGGATTGGCGGGACTTGGCCAGCAGCCCAATCCAGCCCAGGTTCAGGCCCAGGCAGCGATCGCAGCTGCCGCAGCGGCAGCTGCACAAATTTCTGTCATGAACGACTTGCTGAATCGAAACAATAACGAGCTCATCAAGAAGATCCGAGGAGACGTTGTCGATGAGGAACGCGGGGTGAACTCTTCTTCTGCCCTGAACGCGGGAAGCCCCTCAGACGCCAGCAGTGAGCTCGGATCCGCTCAAGAAATCAAATCATCATGCCCAGGGAGCGGGGGGAGCGATGGCAACGAGAAAAGTCCGGGAGATTCGAATCCCAATCTTTGTTCGGCTTGCGGCATCTCGTTCAATCACAAGTCGTCGTACGTTGCTCATAAGCAGTTCTACTGCAAGGCCGCGCCAGGTCGCCAGGACACCAACGCGACCGAACCTAGTAGAGCCGAAACGCCTGTCTGTCAAGGAACTCCCTGCCAAACGGCTTCCGTATAGACGCCGTGGGGCACGTCGGAATCGTTCTGTGTAAAATAAGACAAACTAGAGAGCTAAGCGATGGGCGCTGAGCGAGGTCATCATGTACATACATAGTTTCCAGAAGAAAGGGGCCCTCACGAGCGAGGAGGTGCAGACATCATCTTATCAAGTTCCGCGATCGCAGCGAAGGAAAAAATTCTCACATGTTAGAGATACACTTGTAGAATGATCAATGCGGGCGAGAACGCAAAAGGAACTGCCGACAGTTCCGTACCAGTCACACACCACATCGGTGTAGCAAAACATAGTGATATGAGAATTTCGGTACGGAATCCTCAGCGCGTAGAAGAGCAGGAATTCATGAGTGACGAGATCGCGCGGTGCGGAGACATTCCTGCATAGGCAAGATCGAGCTGATCTTCGTTCCGCTCGATCGAATGAATTGATTTCAAAGAGAAGAGACGAATGATAAAGCCCCGAATTAAATTCTTGTACGGATCGAGTGCAATCGTAGAAGAGGTCGGCAAGTCATAAGCTAGTAGAGTAGAGGATGCGGTCACAAAGGAGAGGCAATTGCACGGAAGAAGCGATAGTAAGACATTTGATCCCGATTTTCGTCCTCCAGCCCATCGCTGGACAAACGAGCCCTCGATTGTTTGGAATCCAGGGCATACAAATTTCACCCTCTTTTCCCTCGAAACCTTCTGCTTGAACACGAAGCGCGGAAGCTTTCGATTCCTGTTGACACTATTTATCGCACTTGTGCATCGTCGCCCTATTGTGCCGCCTCCTCGCCAAACCAAACCAAACGTTCCCTAGTCGATGCCAATATAAATGTAGATTTAGCGATAAGAAAGTAAGGTCTGACACGAGTTCATAGACCATTGCGGTGAGAATAATGAAGGTGAGGATAAGCGTAATTATATCATTAAGATTGGTGATAGCGGTGATGGAATGACCATTGAATCCCAGATCCACCAACAAGTTCAGAATGAATTACTGTAAAGGCAAACCCATAATAAAGTCCATTATCGTCACTATCACCTTTAAAGCCGTGTTTTCCGGACATGGAGCGATGAAGTCTTTAACTGTCCCGTTTACCAATCAAAATGAAGAGCTCGAGGCGGGGAAAGACATGATCGGGAACGGTATACCTCAGAATAATTGCATCGGGAAAAAGACGGACTTTAAGCGAGTATTACTATGGGTGAAGAGCTGGACAGAATAGGGGTGTTGCCTGGCAATCTTCGTGGTCACATGGGCGAGGACCGAGGTCGAAGCGTCACGAGTGAAAATTTCAGCCGAGCACTTCTTCAGACAGAACCATCGACGACTCACAGTTTCGACCCGACTCATCAGAGAAGACAATGATCCGATGAGTCCCTTTCAGCTGCTGCCGAAATCGCTGCATTTTCGCAGAAGAGAGAGACTGCGAATAAGCGGAAATCGGGAACGGCTGGAGCGCATTGTGGGAGAAGACTTCTGGCTTTAGCATTCATTCGATATCCTATGATGATTTGAGTTATAGTATTCCGCGGGCCGGACCACTCAACCAAACTTCAACGTCCCAGGTATCACCAATGACGTACCTATTGCTCACGAGAACGGATCCCGGGATTGAGTACTTCCGGTTTTATCACCTGAGTTCCGGACTCAAGTTCCTTTCGCTTTCGAGAAGCTTCTAGAGTGGAGGGGGGGGGCGGACGTTCTCATCGTCTCAAATCGGGAAGTCGAAGCGATCTCTCGTTGACACAGTTTCTTTCAATGCATGAACCTGCCCGGCGCCGCTTCCAATCAGCGCGTCGGACGTCGGGTCAACCGACGAGGTGTACATTCACGCCTTGTGGTGATTTCGGGTTCGCTGCTTAAGTTGGAAGCCTGTCTTCAGGGTTGGAGCTCGAACATATGTGCACTAAGTACGGAAATCGTGCTATTCCTAATCGTGTTAGTTAATCGGGCTCATTCTCAGAGAGGTCCGATGGTTGCACATGGGCGCCCTTCGTGGAGGGTTGATGGAGTGAGATTCGTCGCTGTCAAGCGGATATTCTCGTCACCAGCAACGGCTCCCGCGGGGGTGCTTCCTTTCATGATCTATGCGTATACAAGGGGGGGAGGGTTACTCTGAGAGGGCCGCCTGGCATTTTTCCCGCTAGGATTCGGCGTTCCCCACTCGGAGGGAATTGCATATGCCGAGGAATCAGGACGGCTGACCCTCTCTCAGTTTCTGCAGTCACGCCAGACGACTCTTGATTTCCACGTATGTTTTATCTATAAAAGTCTCGGACTGAAAGCCATATCCTGTCCGACACGATCCCCCTGGCTCCAAGAGATGCGAGTGGAGCAGCATTCTCAATGATCCACTGAAGGAGCCCGCAGCCTGCAGAACAAGAATCGACCTTCTACGATAGAATCAGTTGGGAATCGACTTCTCAGCGAGCAAGGATCCCGAGTACTGAATAATTATTTCGGAGGGCATCGCTGCCGTGATCATCTCGCGGATCTCCGGCATGACAACGTGACGAGTTACCGGCAGCGGCGCTCGCGTTTTGTCTGCTACTCCGCTGCCGCCTCGTGTCTCGTGTGTACTATTGGGTGCCTGTGCCCTCTCCCTTCGTCCCACGGATAGACTGAGCTCGCGCAAGAGAAAGAGGTGCCGCTCAGCTGGAAGTTTTCGAACATGAATGCATCGTGAAATTCGCATGAGAGCCGTTTTCTCTTCGAGCACGCTCCCGTGAAGCGTGACAACATCATAGATTAAAGTAAGAGTCACCGCATGAGTATTCGAATGCACCCCTGATCTGCAGGAGTCGATTCACTCCTGTCGAACGACAACTTCTAAAATCGGAATGCTCGCTGATTCTGTGACCCATGCCTCCTGGCTCGATAGCTCTGAAGGTCGGATTCCCCTGTCATTCGATGCCTAGAGATGAGCTAGATTCCGACACGGAGACTCTTTGCCGAGAGCCGTGCTCTCCTGCAAAGCGCGAATTCGATAGTCAGCGGGTGGTTTCCGTTGTCGAAATGAATTCCTATTGCCCCACTTGAGCCGTGCGCGGGATTCCTGCGCGGGTCTGATAGATGGCACACCTCTGAGCTGATGGTCGGATTAAAATTTGAATGGAATCTGTTTCCGAGTCAAAGCCGGCAGACATGCCGTCAGATATTTCCGCTGCTCAACCCCCCAAAAATCAGGAGATTTTTCTCCTTCAACAAATCTCGTATGATATATGAACCTGATAGGGAAAGTATGAGGATGGTTTCTCTCGCTTCTCCATCCATAGGGGAAGGAGCTGATCGATGGCATGGATGACAAACTCCGCAACCTCGGGTTGTGCGACGACATTCTTCGAGAACGGTACGAATTTTTGCTAAATTCCGCGAATCTCGAGGCGCCCCCTGGCTGAAAACAAATCCTGTTCTCGCAGTTTTATTGATGCGTGCTGGATTTTGATCAAGAAACCTCATATCCTCAATCATCGGCTCTTCGGCTCCAGCATCGTCTCGTGTGTGAGCTCCAAGAGTGGCTTACCAGGTTGGCTCGATTTTTATGCGCGCCGTGGTTGACACGTCTAAGCATCTATAGGGAGCAGCGAAGTTCACCAGCATAACTTATTGTTTTCAACTCCCAGTTGGCCTCGAGCGGTCTACGAGAGAGAGGAAGCCTGACCTGACAATTGTCCGCCGTCTGATACCCAGGAACCGAGAGAAGTAAGAGCAGGTGGAGAAATTCTCATCTCTATTTTTTCTCTCTGATCACTGACGGGCTATTCGATACGGAGGTGATACCTGATAGGAGAAGGGATGCAATGCGGCTCGGGATGGTATCATTCCAGATTCCGTGTAGAACCTGGGAAGCATGCAAAGCTCACCTACGCCTTCTCTCCCTCCAGGTACTCCCCAGTCCTTGAGCGATGCATTCTCTCCGAGAGGAGCTTACGGATCGAAACGGCCGAATCCGAGGTCGCTTCAAGTTCCCCTCCCGAGGGAGCCGGAGGCAGCTCTGCGAAACCGATACCGGTGGTTGAAGCATCGGTCATCGAGATTCGTCTGGGGGTCGCGGAAACGTGAGAATCTTCGATAACCCGCGGAACACGCTGGGAATGAAAGGAATCGGAGACTTTCGAACGATCCAGGAGTCCGTGCGAAGAAGTTTACGATAATCATAATTCACAGAGTCGTGATCTTAGGCTCAGGTGGAGTACCGAGAAGCTTCACGGAAGCTCTACTTCGACGGCTTGCGAAATGGATGGGGCCGAAATCCGAAATCCATGCTTCAAGCCAGATTCAGCTAGATTCGCTGTCGTTGATCGATCCTGAAGTGTACAATCTCACGTATTCAAGATTGAAGAAAGAAGCGGCCTCGATCGTGGCGGTGAGTTCTGTTTGTAGAATATTCTGTCCATGGATGTCCCGGACTCGCTTTTGGCCTCGAATCGCAGCTTAGGAGCGGATACTGGGACAGAGCTATGCAGGTTTGAGGAATAATTTGCTCGAGCTTCTTCTAGATTTGGCCGGAGAGAACAAACCCCGAGAAATTCGTCCACGAGGACGTCGCCATCGCGAGCTACTTGATCGTGAGTACCATTCGCCCTCAGAGTTCACGGATATCTATCTTCACGATGAGCTCATTCCGGAACCCGAATTGCGGTTCGCTGGAGAAGTTCTGAGTTCGCGGTTCTTTCGCCTTACAGTCACTATGGGACCCGCTGTGTCAAGGAAGGAAAGTGAAATTCGTTGACGTCGGATGCGGTAACGGATTGTTGGTGTACATACTCTTAAAGGAAGGAGTGAGTTCGAGGCTCAATGTCGGTCCCCGAGTTTTATGTACTCAGATTCACGTTTTACGTTCTCATTCAAGTACGTGGGATCGCTCGGTGTTTCACCTTCCTCCTCCGCAGCACGAGGGATTTGGAGTGGACGTACGCCGTCGTGAACTATGGAAATTGTGTCCAGACAATCTCTTCGAGGGCGCGGTATCACCCGAAACTCGATACAGTGACGTCGATTGGTGGATCGGGAATCATTCGGACGAATTAACTCCATGGATTCCGTTCCTCGCGACCATGTACGTTTCGACAGGTTTTCGAGCGCGATTTCGCTGATATTGAAAGGATACTTTGGAATCTTTTGAGAACACCACATCGCAGAAGGACGCTATTTTCTCAGGTCGAACCCGAACGCCAAAGTCTTCCTCATCCCGTGTTGTCCCTTCGGACTCCACGGGAAATATCAACGGAAGAATCCGGAGCTCAGTCAGTATCAGAGTTACTTGACCTTCCTCCGGGACGAGTTCCTCCCAGACTGCGGTTTTCGGGTGGAGATGGACAAGTTGAGGATTCCGTCGACCAGAAGAGTGAGTGTCTCGGCATCCCGATGAAACGGGATTATGTTGATGGAAATGTGCGCTTTTTATCTCGCAGGACAGAGAAACAGCCCGTTGAAAAAAGGTCCTCTCCAGGTGTGCCTGGTATGCAGAGAACGTCGCGTAGAGCCTTATGAGGCGGCTGTGGATAGATTGCAGCAGCGTTGGGAGCGCGAACGAGGGTCTTTCGTTCCCCGGCCGAAGGAAATTCCGGTTTGTGGTAGAAGTTTCCCAGAAATCCAAGATTGCATCCAGCGATTGCTGCTCCCCCACTACTAATTGCGTATCTATCGCTTCAAGGTCAGGAACTGCACTCAAATAAATAGGAGCATCCTTGAACCGTTAGTGAACAAAATCGCTTTCGGCGTCCTGACTCAGGGAAGCGGAGAGGATGCCCCGTGAGTTCTCAATCACTTTTGATTAATTCTGTCTGATTCACGGTTATTTCCGGGTCGACACGTTCCCCTGACCAGGGTCCTGGGAAGCCTTGGCGCTGCACCTCCCGAACCGAAAATGAGTTGTTGATTATTCTTCTCTCCGATTGAAGTTACAACCGAGGCGGCGAGGTTGCACTCAGCGAGGCTGTGAAGCTGTTGAAGTCTGATGAGCTCCAAGTCCTCAAATCTCAGTGCGGCGGACTGCAAACTCTGCTGAAGAACAACTACCACATTTTCAAAGGTAGGACGCAGACTAATTTCCGGAGTAGGCAGTCAGTACTTCCGAGAAACTGAAAAGCGGCGGCTCATTGAATCTCTTCCATGACGTTCCCAGTCACGAAAGGAAAAATCACGCTGAGGATCCCAGAAGGAATTACACCGAACGGTGACGAGAGACGGGTCCGCACGAGAGCGTGTTGGTTCCATGCACGTCACCCACAAGGATGTCCGATGAACGCATCAACGTGCAGATTCGTTCACACAGAACTCGAGTCGGCTGATTGAGACGCTCCGAGCTGATATGCGCTAATAAAAGATTTCGGAACGCCAACGAGTGAGCAGGATGGTCATATTATGTTGGGATGCATCGATTTGTACTTTATTATTAAAAATGTCTTCCTCGCACTTACAGCGAGATAAGTCGGCTTTGTACACCTAATTCATCGGGGCCGGTATTCTCAGTCGGTAGCGTATGAGTATATGGTTGGTTGGTTGGTTGATTGATTATTAGACCTGTTATAATCCGAAGTGATTTCATGCAGATTGGATACTAGGATCTAAATAAATATACTACTCCAGCTCAGGTAGCTCTTTCCGAACGTCCATCGCTTCTCCTACACCCTCGACAATGCCCTTATTGCTGGCAGAAATCGCAGAGGTCACATTTTCTTAATGTCGCTGTAATCCTGCGTTTCGGACGGTTTCGACGATGACACTATCCACAAGAGCGGCTTCTCCGAGCTTCAATTCATCCATATAGATATATATCCCCGATGAGAGCGAAACGCAGCGCCTCCGATCGGAGGCGCTGCGAGTTCTCGTCCCTTCGATGCACCCGACGTGTTTCACGTTATACTGAGGAAACTCCCTCGCCGGTGCTATAAATTCTGGATCAATAGAGTAACGCGATATGGTCCCACTCCGGGAGCAAAATACGTACTCGACTTCACTTTGTAGAAATGTACAAAACGGACATATACTCGACGTGTCACGAGCCAATTCATCGAAATGGAGTTATGCAAGTCTAGTAATCGATAGCAGATGCCACGGTGTGTGTTCATGGCAAGGATACGTAGACGATGCACAGGACGCAGACCTAATTCCTTCAGGTGAGATTTTTCGTTGTTCCAAATGATCATATGTGAGAGGTTGTATGACCACGCATGGAGGCAATTGAAGCGCCCGATGCTCGCGCAAGTCGCGATTTCTGTTCCCATATCACAGAATTGATAAGTGTTTTTCTGCCTATCCAAACTTCCATCCGGTTACAACAGCTTTGGTAATTCTATTCTTTCGATGGATGCCTACCGCGCGCGGGGGAGCGAGTGAGCTTTAATTTACTCCTTTCCCTCCTTGTCTTCTTGGTCCCGATAAATCATGGCGATTCACTTGGTCGTTTCAATCAATATCTGTCTGTATAGTTTACTTTGAAAGCTCCGACGCGATGAGCCACGCCGCACAGGGAAGACGGAGTCGAACAACGATGGATTCGAAAGATAGCCTGTCCAGCTAATCCGTCGCTTACGAATTCGGAGTTCAAGGAAAATTGTGGGTCTATATAACATGATTCATATATTGGCGAGTCCTCATTGATGAGCGACTCAGCTCAGAAATTCTCCTAACCTGTACTGCCTTACACTGCCTGTGGGCAGCCTACATACGAGTGAGCATAATTTACCGTGCGTTGCAGCCCTGTTAATGATCCGTAACCGTTTACCGCCGACAAGATCATCCTCCTCCCGTGCTCATAATGGGAGTTATTCTTGAATAGCCCTCCACAACTGTAGCTTCCTGTCTTGGACAATATTATTGAGAAATCGTCGGGTAGATCTCAACAATCAGCTCTCGTGTATATATTCAGGCTCTGAGAGCGAGACCTATATACCGACCACAACCTTTCTGAGCTTCTTTCACAAAAACGATTTGAGCACGATCGTGTGGATTCGGAGAGCGAGAAATTCGATGCTGGCCAGGGGGGAATCATCCCGATCCGCCCATTCAACAGCGGAAACTTCGTTCCGAACGATCTCCGAGGCGTGTACGACTCGTGAAGTCATTCCAGATCTTTCCACGAGGGAAAGTCCCGTGGAAGCGGACTGGGACATTCGGAGAGCTCAATATGAGAAGAGCTTCCCACCGCTCCCCAAATATATAAATAGAAAAATACGAATTCTCCATCATCGATCTCCCATCAGGGACTTCGACGACTGACTCCTTCGATCGACTCTTCGGATTCGGTTCGCGATATATTTACTCAAGTTTTGGGCTCTCTCGGGATTGCCACGCTCGCAGCCGATGAGGTGTTCAACGGAGTCCATCCGCGAGTCAAGGCATCTTGGAAGATTTCAATCACTCCATCTCTTCAGACACTTTCGGGAGGCGAAAACAACAACAGTTTCGAACGGTGAGAAGAGACCGCGGCCAGACCTCGGACCTCTGCCGGGTCTACCATAACGATGACCACTATGTCGACCTACGGAATAGATTTCCTAGAGATCAAGGGAGTCTTGCCTCAGCTTATTCGGACAACAAATTAGCTCCGGCGTAGACCAGCTGACGGACATCCGAATCAGTAGCGATGATCCATCAGAGGTTGGGCGTTCCGGTTCGATGCGTATTTGCTGCCCCCCTCGTTGTTATTATTGTTGTTGTTATTGTTCAGGTGATGGTTGTTGTTGTCGCTTTTACCGTGATTGTTGTTGCTGTGCAGGTGGTTCCCCATGCCGAAGATTGCCGACAGAGCTTCCACAGCGATTCTCTCCTTGTCTCGAAGATCTTCAGAGTCATATACAGATGCTGGCTGAGTACTTTGAGCAGAGCTATCGGCACCTGTGGATCGGAGATTTCTTTCAGGGCTCGCGATCTTCCAGGGAAAATGACAAAATTCATTGGTAGCTTCAACAATCGGAGTCGGAATCAGCACTCACCATTTCCGTTCTCGTGAACCACCTCTTCGCGCACTTCGATGGGTACGTCTCTATGGATAGCCTTAACTACGACTTGACTGTGACCGTTCCGTAGTCCCGTCGATTCTCGGTGGAAGGTTTGCGCATCGGGTATCGGAGTTCCGTGCTCGTTCATGGAATGATGCAGCATCTTGACGTAATCCCCAAAACCCATGTGGCATGTCGGACACCTGTGAATTATTCATCGTCAGAATTCATCCTTGAGAACGGATAGGAATTGCCTTTCGGAGGATCATCAATGGACAGCATGTTAGGGTCGTACCAGGCTGGGGAGATCTTCTTAACGCACCTATAAACCTTCGTGTCTTCATCGTCGTCTTCGTCGTTCTCTTCGGGGCTCCGAGCTCGCACATCGGTGTTGCGGTCCCTCTCGGCTCGTTTCACCAGACCCAGCATCGTCATTTCTTCGAATTGGCTTCGGTACGAGCCCGACGAGGAGGCTCCGCTAGGCATGGCATTTTTCGTAGCCAACAAGGTCTTACTTCGTGACGCTAGAGCACACTGAGAATTGTGTCGCCGATGTTGTTGAGCAGTAGCGAATGACGCTGGAAACAGATGACAGGTTTCGGGTTAGATGCAGCTGCCATGGTTCCGTCCCTCGCAGGGATCAACCCAAAAGCGTTGGATTTCAATCCTGTGGTGATGCTCACCTGGACAGCTCCGGCAATTGAATTGCTCGGGAACTTTTCCGTCGAGGAAATCATCTCCCCACGTTTCCGTCTGCATGGAGGACATCTTTGAGGGCTCGGGAGTCCCCGTCGGTGACTCTTTCCTCTTTTTGCGTCGGTAAGATTGCTCCTCGCGACATTCATCGAGCATGTGTTTCCGGAGCGAGGCTTGCGACGGGAAGCTGTGGCCGCAGGTGGAGCACTCACTCGGACCACCGCTGTAGGTCGATCGCGCGGACCTCCTCTGGGGGCGATCGTCAATTTTGCGTTTGCGTCTCGGATCATCTTTGCCTTGAAGATAAAGAGGGAAAATTATATTTCTCGCTCCCACGACTTCGAGCGGACCCTTCGGAGCGACGCAGGGCTTCCGCCTCTTGAGGAACTCATCTGATGAGGTAACTCTACACATACAAGCCTCTTGAGACAAAGAGGAAGGGCCAAACGGGACCGATAGCTCCCTCGGAGGCGGAGCTCACGGCTGGCTCGAATTTTTTCCGACGACTTACCGTATTCCGAGCTGTTGTATGGAGAGGGCACGCTGTCTTCGCTCCGTTTCGTGTTGAGGACCGGTCCAAACTTACGCTGCTTAATGAGCCTCGGGGAAGGCGGCCGTTGACCGCTCCTGAGTCCACCTCCCAACGATGAGAGATAACCGCTTCCGCATTGAATGATGTGGAGATGCAATTCGTTGAGACTACTGAAGGGCTTGCTGCATTTCGTACAAATGAAGTTCTCGTCTTCAGCCTTGTTTCCGCTCGCAGGGGCCGAGTTTAGAACGCCTCTGTTGCTCGGAATGAACTGCGTCGCGAGTTCGACCGGAACAGTGGAATGTCCTTCGAGCTCCATGTGTGTCGCGACGATGTTCGGATGTGCTCTGAACTTATGCTCCACAATGTTCGCATGAGAACCGCAGTTCAAGCCACAAACTTGACAAATGAACAAAGTGGGGAGCTCGGTTTTCACGGGGTCCTTCTTCACAGGGTTCAAGCCCAGACACGCTCCCAACGCGATTTGTTCCCCTGAGGTGGGAGGCGAGTTGTCGACCCGAGTCGGCAACGGATTACTGGTCGCGAGAGGCGGACGGCTTGCATAAATCTGGACGATGTGGGTGATGTCCAACGTGGGTGGGAAATTGTTCACGAGCCACGGCATGCAATTATTCGTCTCCACTCGCTCAGACTCGAAAGCCGACGCCTGGTTGGAACCCGGTAATCTGCCATCGATGTGATACTGGAGATTCTCGGAGATACGATGAGCCAGCGTTCGGTAGAACTCTTCCTCTGACGGATTACGGTGGCCATTCAGCTTCATTTTGTTCTCCTGTGGCGATTTCTTGTCGAACTGCTTCACATGAACTACTGTGTTGTGCCGTTGCAAGTTCACCAGCGCGGAGAAAGTCTTGTTGCAGATGTCGCAGCTCACGCTCGTCGTATCCACGTTCTTCTCCGGTTTCGTCTCGGAATCTACCGCCTCCTCCTTGATGACGCTGGCCATGCCGTTTTCCTGGAAAGAGTGGGGATTCAGTGAGCACGAACGATGGAGCTCCACTTCGGCCTGGGCTTCTTTATGTACACCGCGCGAGCAACAACCGCGGAAGTCGACGCAACTCACCCTGTTGTTGATTTGACGAACGTTCTCCGAGTAAGTCTTCCCATGCGAGTTGAACAGATGCTGCCCCAAAGCCGAGACGTCCGCGAAAATTCCGTCGCAGTAGCTGCACACATGATTTGTGTCGGGGTGTATTGTGGTTTTGTGCATCACAAACTCCGACTGGGCAAATGATCGGTCGCAGACCTTACAAGTCGTGTCTGTAGCCTCGTGGAGCCGTTCGTGCCTCCGGAGTTCAGCAGTGCTGGAGAACACTTTCGAACAATATTTACATGTCGTTTGAGCCGCTTTCTTCGTGTTCTGGGGCGCGCCGTTGTGCACAACTTGGTGTCGCTGTAGACTTTTGCGATCAACGAACGCCGCGCTACATTTTCCACAGGACACACTTGGGAAGGATTTCTTGTCTTTTCCGGCGTGCGATTCGGTGTGGGTTCGCAGTTGGTCCCTTTCGGGGAACAGCTGATTGCAGATGTGGCACCTGTACGAGAAAGAACGTTTCAGGTCAGAATTCGAAATCGGGTCTTCCCTGACGGAGACGGACGGAGGTCAAATCACGTGAGTACTTCATGTACGTACCTGTACAGGTCGTCACCGTTTAGAGCGGTATCGTTCTGGGCGGCTTGAATGACTTGCATGTGGATGCCGCAATTCGTAATATCGGTGCTCGTCAGATACTTGTAGTTTATGTGACAGCGTAGAAAATGTCGTTTTAAAGAAAATACATGTCGGTAGATCTGTTCGCAGATGTCGCATTTGTAAGTCTGAAATACAAAATATGATTTAGAGGGGTGACGAGGGGTGACGTCTTCGGAGAATTCTGATCTATCAGAGAAAGGGTGGGCACGGAGCCGAGAGAAAAGACCCAGAAACTCATACCTTTGACATTCCTGTACGATTGTCTTCTTTGGTATATATGTGCTTCGGCAGCAATTGGAATTGGTATTCACCCGGCTGGTGTGTCGTTTCCGCGGAGTTGTTTGCCACTTCCTGGAAGGGAACATTAGAAAACCAGTTTCGAAATGCCCTCCGCGATGCTCTTCGACAAGGGAATAATTGTTATCGTGAGGGGGATTCAAAATTCTGCCGCTTGAGAGACTCACCTCAATGACTTCTTCGTCGACCTCTTCCTCGAGCGGACTCTCTTCACGCATCTCGCCGCCATCTTCGTCGATCCATTCGTTTTTCTGTTCCTCCGGACTTCCGCTCTCGGACGGCAGCGAACCGTCGTTGGAGAAGTCCTCCACCACAGTTTCGGTGCACGTCAAGTCGTCTATCTCCATGATCGGCTCTCGCACTGTAAATTTGAATCTTTGAGAATCGATTTTCGAGACGGTTTCAGGTCAAAGCCGCTACGGGAGCGTGTCATAGTGATTCCGGCGGAGTTAAAGCTCAAACTTCCACAGCACGCGCCCAGCGATAGCTCAGCTCCTACTTCGAGGAGTGCGTCCTCACGAAAGATGAGGAACGGAGCTCTCTCGAAATCAGCGATATCTCAGTCATCGTCGGGGATGACAATGATGGAGCGAAGATAACGGTACTGCGCTCGGAACCCTTTCATTTCTCCGTCGTTCTCCGTCGGCTGACTCTCATTCCGGAGCAGGGCATCCGGGAAAAGTTTGGCAGCATCCGAGCGGTCTATACATCGGATTCCCAGGGAACAAGTATGAGATGCGCTATCGAATTTCAAACTCAGTCTCCACTCGGATGAGCGATTTTTCCACAGACTGGCTCAGATGGCAACAAGCTCCGCTGACTGTTACTGAGAGAGGCGCAGAGGAGAGATCGCCGAGAGTATATACACGACGAGAGTCGAACTTCCGAAATTCGTTGGATCGTCACGAGCTCGGTACTTTAGGCGATCTACTTAATTTTAGTGCTCCGTAGCTCTATCCGGACTCATCGATGGAGATCCGGGGCTTCCAGCCTCCAGCTCGGACAGCATCTCTTCTGACAGCGCCGTCGCCCGAGCCTTCGTCAACGCGCAGGGCACACCCCGCGCAGAGAGAGGGCAGAAACATTTTCAATATATAACGTTCTTTTGGACGGTCATCGCTTTTTCAGCGTCAGTCAGATTCCTGCTTCATAGCTTCAGCGGCATACGCGAGATCATGGAGTTTCGAGACGCAAAGCTCTGCCGTTGGCCCGTAGAGCTGATGTCATGACGCAGTCACCGTCGAGCGGATCGTTCCGTCGGCGACCATAAGCAACAGCGGCTACGGCGCGGCAGTAACACCACTGCTTCCAACATCAGCACTATCTCTGCCACCAGTGGTGATCACGGCTCGACTCCAGCCGGAGAAGCTCTCTCTTTACTGCACTCGAGTGAAGCGAGTACACTCACTGAGTGAGTGCACGCCGTTCGATCGGACTTTTCACGATTCGGTGCTTAAGATTCCCATACATCGCTTTCGGCATCGGAAGTTTCGCGTGGAAAGAGATTCAGCTCCGAGCGCAAATTCGAGAGATTGCGAAACCGATCGGCATCTTCAGAGCGGACAACCACCAGCCGGCCGTCTCTCCACCGGGGATCGGAGTCCGTCTTCTGAGCTCGCGAGAATGACATCGGTGTTCATTGACCCAAGATGTTGTCAGAGTACTGCCCAGAGCTCCGGACCCGACACAGCAAAGATCCGCGAACGGGGAACGAACGGTCTGCCCTGGCAGCGACACCGTCGCGAAGTTCACCCAATAGTAATCACCATGTTCACCAAAGCTTCCCAAGCTCGATGTTGTCACCAGAGATCACTTGTTGATTCAGAGCGAACTCTTTTCGCTGCCACCTTCACAGGTAACAGAGGCACCGAGCGAGTGGTGCGTAGACCGGGGAGACGGTGCTGGATCGGTTGCGATCCAAAGCAGAGTTCGACGGCAGCAATGAAGCCAGAGAAGTAGCGGCTGTCTACCCAGGGTCTTACCGTTAGGTTTCGATAAGTTTCCAAGAGTGTCCCTCTGACAAGAGTCGAATTAGCGACTGTGACTCCGGTTCGATGACTGTTGCTTTCCTCTGCATGAACACAAAGACACAGTCTCACTCACACACTCACTCACAGCCGTTCGCGCTTTCGGTGAAACTGGACGTAACTCGGTCCGGTGTCGTGAGCGAGTCTCATCGACGAACGCTAGCTCAACTTCGTCCACGGTCCCCGAGCTGTTCAGAGACTGGTCGTCCTCCACGACTCATCTGCTGGTCTCACTCACTCAGTCTGCAGCACCGACACCACCATTACTTCTAAGAGCAGCATACTACATCCATCCACTCCGCCAATAGCGAGCGAGCGAACGGCCTGAACGCGCCAAGCTAGCTCCTGCGAGGAGCAGAGCGTGTGAGGATACATCCGAGTTTCACGCGCTGGCCGCCAGACCGCGCTGCGGCTCAATGCCACATCCAATGCTCGCCGTGCTTCTAGACGACACACACAGAGAGGAGTAGCAGCAGCACCGACTCGACGACGACGACCACAACAACCACCACCACAATCACATCCAGAAGAGAGTAGCTGCTGCGGCGGGAACGGCGGCGCGGCAGCAGCGGCGACGACGGCCGCCAATAGAAAACCAGCAACTCTGGAGCGGCTCGTCGTCGTCTTGCTTCTCGCTCACCACCAACAGCAGCAGGCTGGCCAAGTGGTGGTGGTGCTGGTGGATGGATGCAGTTACAGCGCCAGCATCAGATGTTGCGACTGAACCCGCCTTCGAGTGAGATCTTCGTTCGAGCTGCCGCTTCAGGGGCCCATCTCGATTGGGGTTCGAGCCTCTTTGCAGAGAGCAATGTCGACCAGACCTGACGAGATCCACAAAGATACGTGGCTCGGTCAGCTTTCGATCCAGAGAGCTAAGGTATTGCAGAGAAGTTGGGATCAGCCATCGCGCTTCCTCGGACTCCGAATTTGAACGTTCCCGCGCTGCTATCGCGGTCGACACCGCCGATCGACGGACTTTTAAAGCCTCCGCAGAGCTATTGTCGAGGGAATTCCGATCTGGATCCAAGTAATTAAGCGAGACTGCTCGCTTGAAAGTTCACAATCATTTAACCTAGAATCCAGCATCCTCCGACACCCTTCCGCGAGAGCCAGAGAGCTTCATCCTCTGTGTTTGGACGTAAGCTGCGGTTGTTCTCCGAATCAGGGAGTATTGTTTCGAGAAAGAGAAACATCCGATTTCGAGTCATCGAGAAGAAATTGACTTTTGCTTATCGACCTCCTGACTTTTCGATCAGCGTCTTCATGAGACATCTGATCAGTTGATCCGACCGGTCAAGTACTTTGAATCGACTCCGATCGCGAAGGAGGGCTCCCCTCTCTCTTTTCCAGGAGAACACGTTGAGCCTGGGATAGTCGACCACAGCACAGGAGAAAGAGGTGTCGTCCTTTCTCAAACAAACACCGCTGTCAACAGCGTGGAAGCGGGAAATAACCAGTACCCATCATGTATATCGTAAATCCGCAGCCAAGCCACGGGACTCCCTTGTAATAATCCATGCACTTCTCCGAACGAAGTTTCCGAGGCTTCGAGATAAGAGTAACAAGAGGCTGACGGGGTCCACCTCGTATCGATAGGCTATCTTCAACCAGTCTGCAGTCCCGGAGAGCAGAGCTGTCCTCTATCCGAAGATTCACATTTTATTCGAGTCAGATATCTATCTCAGGTGAAGTTCCACCCGCTCAGGTGGAATTGGGAGTTCTCCGCACCGGACTTTCGACTCCAACTCGATCAATAATACACGTGTTCCCTGAAACGACCCGAGAATCACTCCCATCTCAGTCCCTACGGTGGGAACATCTCCGGGAAATTCTTTTAAACCACGAACTGTTGGTGTCTGTGTCTCTAAAGTGTCGAGAAGCATCCACTCCGGATTCAGCGGCCGCCATGTTGTCCCCGCGATGCGCGTTCATGCACAGTTGCCGTTACGACTGGATCCGCAGCGGCGCCGATGTCCCCTGTGGCCTCAGAGGAGTTGTCCAAAAAATCCCGAGCCCCAGTTGGTTCCCCCGACAAGCTGAGAAAGTAGCTTTCGCATGATCCATCCACCGATCTAGAGAAATTTCAACGGTATTTCGGACTACGCCGCTCCTCGTAGACACTATCAGTGCTCTGGTGAAGACCCCTTGGCCAGATTGCTCGCTCTGGCAGCGAGCATTCACGATGTGGCCGCATGAAGCTCGAGTTGGAACTTCTTCCACTGGATGGCACTCCGCGAGATAAGGCAAAACGAACGGATGAGCGCCATAATTTCATACGAGATGCCAGCTGGCCAATTCACGACTGCGAGTCGACTCTCAACTCGGTGGAGAAGCAGCAAGGCTGCAGCGTGAGGCCTGTTGGCAGGCGATGTCTGCAGTAACACGTTGCTGTCAACCCCTGCAATCGTATCCCACCTGCAGCTAGAGCCCGCACACCATGCAGTACGAGACGAACAACACGAGTTTTCGTTCATGAGACACTTGTTGACTGTCCTCCCAGGGTACATACTCACCGCTGTCTCGCCGATGCGCTGGCTCGGCCAGCACTGGGATATCAGGGGTTGCTCTGGCGTTTCACGGCACGTTGTTTCACTGCGGTTGTGTCAGCGGATCTCTAGAACTCTCTCGGATGAGGGTTGTCGAGTGTCACTTTGCGTTACTTCGCAACCAACTGCTTCATACAACTGTGCAGGAGGACTCTCTCCGTCAGTTCACTACCACCACTAGCACCACCAAGACCGACCGTGTAGTCAATCAGAGAGAGCAATGGCGGCCGCCGTGATGTGGGTCACTAGCCAAAGGGAGAGGACGAACGCGCGAAAACATCGGATATCAACATGCCTTGTGGGATTGAAACGATTGAATTTCGCTCGTGGAAATGCTGTGGTAAACTTGCAACTCGTCTTGTTGCAAGGATTGCTTCTCCCCTTTGAAACGACTCCTCTGCGGATCGTGCGATGACCCAACCGTTTCGATTTCTCGAAGCTGGCTCCCGCCGACTCACACCGGCGATTCTCTCAGGAGAGTTTTTCGCAAGGCTCTGGCGGAGTACGACAAAATCGCCCAATGCGGATATTTCCTAGGTCATTTCGGGAGGCTGTCGGCGTTCGTGGAGGTCGGACTCATGACTGGGACTTAGTCAGGGACGAGGAGACAAGTGAAATCATTATCCACGATCGATTTCGCTTTCATCCTTTGAATGGGTCCCACCGTCGGCTCGATTCCGTTTCATAATCCTGACCGATGCTAACCTCACGTTTATCTTTGTCTTGCCTTTCTCTCGAGAGGAATTTCAATAATTTTCAAAGGCTTCACGAAGAGCGGGAAGGCATTGGATGCGATCATCTAGTCGTTAGTCCGAGGGGCAGCAACAGAGCTGAGAGGGGCAGAAAATAAAGGACCTTAGAGGAGGAGCAAACGACGAGGAAGGCGAGTCGGGATGGGTGGTCCTCGGGCTCAACTTTATGGCATATTCCTCCCTCTAGCTCGATTCATCGGGTTCATCTCTACGGACTTTTCCCTCCGTGTTTTGAGACATGATGAGACCGCTCCTATTATTGACTCTGAGGAGCATACAGGAAGACAAAGTCACCATTGAAAATCACTCGCGGAGTACGTATCACCTTCCATACGACTTTTTATTTAGAGATGAGTCATGTCGAGAAGTTGAATCGTAGCTGTTCAGATCTTGATAAAGAGATACAGAGAGAACTTCGACCCGAAATGATCCTCGATCAGATTGGTACGCGGTTTACACGGATCGTTTCTGAAGTTTTTGGAGAGCATGAAAGAAAGCGATAGCAAGTACTGGATCCTCGCAACCCAATTTGAGGCCCCCTCTTGGAGTATATCTCCTTCGCCTTTCCCGGATCATCGCCTAGGCCAGGATAGCCATTGGCTGGAGAAAAGCGGGACGGATCCGAAGACTGTAGATCCATTCTGAGGAAAAAACGCCCATCCTTATCATTCCAGGTTTTGCGGACTCTTGAGATAGAAGCAAGGGATGGCGATCGGGAGAAAATCCTGGGGATTCTGGAATGCATGAATACCTATGCCTATGACGAATACTCGGCGGGAACGCTCCCCGCCCGTGGGTCGTCGAACCAAGGATTCGGACTCAGTCTCGAGATTCCGGGGGTCCTACACCGATTCTCCGCAATACGTGTAAAGAGCGCTCTAGCAATCACGAACACGATAGCTCTTTATTCTCTACGCATAATACATGCGGAACAGAATCGATCGCAGCAGAGATCGAACGATAATTCCAAGCTCTTTTGACGGTGTTTCAAACTGTCAAGTCGAGTTGCATGTGCGATGTGACTACGGGGCCTCGATCAGAAGATCAGGTGAGGATCCGGAATCGTGGTTATTTGCAGCTACTCGCCTGGCACGTTGATCGAACATTCACAAAATAGTCCACACCACATATCTGACGACCGTCTCCACATAACGAATCACCCGTTTCATCATTCATCCACGCAGACACGCCCTCATACTCTCTCAACGCTCTACCGACCCGAGTCGGTAAGTTATTTTTATCCATGAGAAGAATCTAGCTCTGTTGTGCCTTCCGCAGTTCCTGGATCCTAAGCCGGCCGTACGAGATGCTCTGGAAGGCAAATTCATCCATGAATATTCCGCGCATGCCCGGATCCGAGAGTCGAACCTGGAGCTCCCGAGAACCGCGAAGCCGGAAAACCCGGAAAGAAACCAATGACGGATGCGAGTCTGAACACGTACTTTCTTGGGGGATCCGAAGCGACTCGAGATCCTTGATCACGACTTCGTATTGCAGACCTCTGAATTTGTAGGTAATACGAAGACTTTTCTCTTCGCCGAGACACGGGTCGTAGAAACCGAGAAGATTAGCCTGTAAACGATGAAATAGAGAGCTTCTCCCCTCTCGATATCGAGCTGTTCAGAATCTTGTCCCGTGGAATGAGTTTTGAATTCACGCACCTTCGACGTCTCACTGAGCGTGAGGCAGGAGTTCACCACCAAAATCTGTAGCGGAATTGTCACTTCGATAATTTCCCTGCTCGCGTCTTCCTCTCTTCCATCGATCTCGTCGGACTTTCCGTATTTAGCGGAAACGATGATGAGACCGTTCCGAGACTCCTCAACCTCACAGCAACGCTGGTACGTCTGCTTCATGAGGGCAGTCTGTAATAGAGTTCCGGACACGTGAAAACGCCGATTATTCTGAGAACAGTCATCCGGAAAACGGGTGACAGCTCGATGAATTAGCTCACCGCGGCCTCTGCATGCTTCCTCAATTCCGCTATTTTCGACATGTTGGCCTCACGAATCTTCTCCGCCTCCCTAGGAGGAACGCTGCACGTTAATTCTTCTGAAGGCCCGGACGGTGACTCGTCGATATACGATAGTACCCTAGTATTGTCATCTAGAAGCCAGAGAAAGTCTCGAACGGATTTCCCCGCAAAGGCCAGACTCGACGATACGTCAACTCACTCTCTTCGCTGCCTGGCATAATACGGTTCCACGAGGAATTTCTTGAAGATGAGGTATCCCACCATCGGAACTACAGTTCCGTAGAAGATCGCTCCTGGATGCACCTCTTGGGAGAGTTGGATTGGGAAAGCGAAGGTCTGGTTGCCCCTCATGAACGTGAGCTGCGAATACAGATCTGGATCAGACTTTGAATCGCGCCCGGATGGGATCAACTCCAGTAATCGTCGGTCCAAATGAAAAAATCACAGAGTCTGACTAGAGTCTTAGTAGAGAGGAGTCGATTCGAATTACCTTGAGCGTAACACCTTCCGGATGACTAATTTTCATGAGAGCGTTCACCTTGTTGTGCTTAGAAATTTCGGTCTGGCATCCGTAGAGGAACTGCATGTTCAGAGTGCCGAGCCTGTACGAGAGATAGACAGAGACAGACAGATCATGTCTCACATCGAATGATTTCAATGCTGACGCTATTCATGTTCAGCAAGATCCCGCTCCCTTATCACGGAGGTTCCCGACCGCCTGTCGGCGGTCCTGAACTCGACTTACCGACCGGACACATCGAACTTGGTGTGCTCCCACATTTGATGCGTGTATTTCATCTCGATGAAGCTGTTCGGAATGCCAAGCTGAATGTCACAGGCTGCCTGAGAGTTACTCGATCGCCAAACAAACGACGCCGTCATACTTTGGGTATGTCCCTCGCGCCATGTCAGATAGCCGACAATGTTGCTAGTCAACTGCCGCGTGAGTACGACAGAGAGTCCGGGCATGTAACCCCGAGCAGTCCGCTGCAAGTCCAGCTGGCCGGTGATGATACTAAAAGAGAGCTCGGTTATGGAACCCCAGGAAGCTTGTATCTGGGGCCTGGATTCGAAGCCGCTCCTGGATTCTCGGATCTTACTGCTTTGCATCGATGGGCTTCACGAGCTTTGCGGACGCGCTGAGTCCTCTGTCGGAGCCGAGTTCGACTTCGGTGCAAATGGTGTTGGAGAAGACATGCCTCCACATCGTTGTGATTCTCCCCTCGCCGCGACCTTTTTGCGCCACCAAGGAGCCCGAAAACTTCAGCGAGTCTGTGGTCGACAGAGGTGCTTCCACCGTCTGCCGCACAACCATCCGACCGACCTCCAGTTCGGGAAGAGAATCGAATGGACTGAAAAAGATCTCCGCTTCTTATTCCGCTTCCTGTATGAAGTGCTCGCAGACCGGAATGAAGCTCGCAACTCATTCGAGACAAAGGTTCAGCGAGGGAACAGGTACATACCTGGTGCTTTCGAATTCTGGGTATTCTTCATCGTCATCGTAGGTGTCGAATATGTCTGTGGCGTCGATTTCCATGGATATCGTCCCGGTGGGGTTCGTCCTCTGTCGGAGATGTCGCTCAGCCTGGAAAAGATGGGAACGAGCTTTGACACGCGTCGTCCCTCGCATGAATTCGCAGACCACGACGTGGACCACATGGGAGGTTCCGAAGGTGCCGGAACGGCTCGAAGAAGTTTTTCGTCCGAAATTCGGGATGTGTCTGATCGAGCTGTGGAACATTGCTTACTTGTTCTTTGGCGAGTCTCTCATATTCTTCCCTGATCTCTTGCGGCGTTTTGGTCTTGAGGGTGACCTGCCACCCTGATGTATCCAAGCCCTCAGGTCCCAGAGTATCATATATGGCTCGACGTTGAGGATCGACGAGGACTGCAACGGATGAATTTCGAGGTGACTGATCTCGAGGGAAAGTCTGAGTGATATGTAGTGAGTAAAGGAGAAGGGCATCGTGAAAAAGAGTGTCGGTCGGTCGAAGTTCCAGTGACAGTGCAGTTGTGCAGCTGGGCTCCGGTGTCGCATTCTCAGATCAGAATTTCCGTATGACGGATTCTCGGACTACTACATCTGAAGAAACTGTGACTTTCATTAGGCTAGCCTCCGTTGGTCGGGCCACTCACCATCGTGTGCGTATCGTATCTTGTTGAATATCGTTTTGGCATCATCTTGACTCGCCGGATCTCTGTGTTTGTCCGGGTGATAGATCCTGCTCAACTTACGGAACGCATTAACGATCTCTTCTGTGGTGGCCTAAGAACGATATCGGAATTAGTTGTATCCAGAAAGTGACAGCAAATCAATTGACATTCAACGGAGTTGGACCTTCCGGAATACTTGAGAAATGGAACGGAGTCTCTCCCACGCGAGTCAACTCGCGCGGTTCTCATCGGGACGATTTCTCTGTTTCCTACGCGGAGTCGATCGAGAATTTCGCACTGGTGCATCAGTGAGTTCCGGAGGTGCTTGCGAGACGCTTACCGTCGACGAGACATTGAGAGTTGCATAATAATCGTCCTTAACTTTGACTTTCTCTTCGTCAACTTGCTCATCACTGGGCGCCGCCATTTTAGAACTGTCCCCAGATTCCCTAGACCGCATGCCACTGTCAGGTCTTTGGGCCGGAGCAGCTAGGTACTCCGCCAACTCGGGACCGCGCGAGGGAAGAGGCGCCGGTCAACTAAATGGGTATGTCAGTGAACTTCAGATTTGTATTTCGTGTGATTCCAAAGCAAGGAATCGACGGCACGGACACGGTGACGGCTGAGGCCTTGTACCGGCAATCAGTATTCGTGATGGACGAGACAGTATCGAGGCCAGTTTCCATAGTTCAAGCTATCTTCCCCCAGCTCCCGATTCCACCGCCGAAACTATGGGTCTGCAATCGTTACCGTCTAGTGTATCCATCACGGTCAACTTCCGCCGTGGAGGAATAACATGGCCCTCACTGGATTAAGGGGGAAAATGTCTTCGAAGGGGTTTGCCGAACACAGCGAATGTGTCAAAGTACGAGCTTCCCGCAACCATGTCGAGCACAAAGATTTCTCTCAGGTCATACGCAACCCTCCAGCTTGAAGTGTCGTCGGGAACGGGGTGGGAAGATAAATCTCGTCGAAATTATCAGGGGAATCAGGGAAGTACAGGTCCATATCCGATCTCATGGAGTTTAAAATGCGTAATACCGGGTTGAGCCCGACGAGGGCAATGATGAAAGGAAAATCTTTTTAGAGCGTTTATTCTACAAAATATATAGTGACTTCCGATTAAGCTCGCTATGTACAATCTGTTGTGCGTAGCTCAGTCTCAATTCAATTCAAGCTTGCCGACCTGAGGGCACTCGTATACATGATATTTATCAATCGGTCCATCACATGGTCTGCAATTGCAATTCTCGTCGATTTGGTGGTGGCCAGATGTTCGCGAGCATATCTTGTGGTGGAAGCCGTGGCTGGCTCCCCGCGTGAGTCGATGTCCAACTTCACAATTGGACCCTTCGCGCAAGTCGGTCCTCATCGTCGGGGTCTGCAGGACCCTCTCGTCAACGTCAGTCATTTTTGTGCTCCAGTCTTCTAGAATCTAGATGATCTTCGAGTGCCTCAGTCTTGGCGAGGTTGAGAGTCCTCGGAAGCTGTTCTGTTTGCTAATTAATGGAGAATGAGCTATGAAGAAATTCGAAGCCGACTACCCTCAGGCATTCCTCAAACGATACTCGACAGATACATACTGCATACATTCCCTAAGTCCCGCCCATTCGTATTTTCGGTTTCACGGCATTCGGACCGTCGGTGATAACTTGAGTCCAGGTGTTTCCGCGGGAGCCTCGGTTGTTTCTGCTTCCACTAACAGCAATATTGGACAGACATAGCCTAGGAGGCGCTAAGAGCAAGCCTCTTCTAGGTGCAGAGTAGTGAGTAGTTTATCGCTTGACGCTCCACAAACTCGTCGGCTTTTCGGCCGTCCAGCTTCCTTCCCAAGAAGTATGCTCTGTAGAAGACCTAAGGGTCTCTTGTTATTTGGGGATCGAGTCGCTCGGCATCTGAAATCGCTGCGAAGTTTTCATCACTTGCCGGGGACGATTGGGGACCAGAAGGAATGTTCTGACTTCGATATGTGAGCCGTTCTCGAAAGCTCAACTCAACTCAATCGCCGAAATTCGGTCGATTCTTTAATTCTGTGTCTCTCCCAATCTCGAAAAGCGGGAGAGTCGCGACGACTCCCCCGCCTGTTCCCAGGCTCTTTGATGCTCACGGGAAGCATCTGACAAGAGCTCTGAGGTGACGTCCTGGTATGCTGTGATGGGATGATATCTCTTGCCCCGAGAAGGACGCCGCTGACCAATGAGTGAGTATCCTGAATCGGATTGAGATCGGTTGAATTCTCCATTGAGATTCTCAATTTCCTAATTGAATCCATTTGGACCAACCCAGAGCCGACGAACTTCCCGCGAGTTCAATGGTTCGAGCCCGCAGCGTCCGTCGCATCGCATTCATGATTGTTGGGATTCTCCCCGTTCTGCAATATGGCGAAAATGAAGACAACAAAGGGAACGCGAAAATTGTTGGTTACGCGCCCTCTGTCCAACTTCCGATCGTGGCCCGAGGAATGCATGTACCCATATACGTACTTCCGTCCATCATGGGTTTCCGGGAGCCGTTCTCCTCTCCACTTGGTCGCCCTCTAATTATCAGCTTCGTGGATGGAGCATCAAGTCTGCCGATCTTACAATATGTATAGCGCCTGGTGATGGAGAGTTCGCGAACGCGCCTCTCGACGAAGACTCAATCATAGCTTTTGTTTTAATGAACTGTGGATAGCATCCTTGATGGCTGGTCGTCAATCAATCAATTATCCATTCCAAGTAGAGTTTATTGAGGGTTGCGTCGTCTTCAAAGAAGAGTTCCGGCCTCTATCGAGAGACTCAGACGGATGTGCGTGAGGAACGAGCAAGTCTTTGAAACTTTCTTGTTGAGACTCGGCGTCTGAACGGCTCCTGATCGAAGGCCGCGAGGGGGTTCGGAGAATGCGTCTGTCCGACTCCCATTCAGGCGATGGTATGAGCTGCGAGGAATAATACAGCGGCACGGGCACGTAGCACAGCAAAATCGATACACCTCCTGTTGACTCGGAGTCGCGATATCTCCTTTCAGCGCATGGACGTTTGCTCTGGTTCGCGAATTCGAATCGCAGGACTGGCCGCGATGGACGAAATGAAAACTCCGGGACTCTATCCCCATCACGACCCCGCAACAAGTTTCTCCCGTAGTAAGGAATATGGTCCGATTGAGGAATATAGGTTCTCTTCATGCGATGGGAATCGAGAGCACCGAGGTTGGGTGGACAGCCAGCTCGAGGTCAAGCGAATAAGAGGCTTAGTGTCGAGGTGGGGACTCTGTTTCTATGGAAATTTTCGGGCGGCCGCGAGGTAGGGAACCCGGGCTCGGCGGTAATCGAAAACCGAAACGTCCCATGCGAGCACGTCCGCGTATCCGACTCAAATATTTGCACCTTCCTCCTCAATCGATTGCGAGCGGAGCGAGCCCTCGAGCGTGCGATATAGAAACTTTTCAGAGCCGTCACCGTCTTCTCCTCCCCATACTCGTTCCGGGGCTGTCATTCGCTGGATCACGTCGCGCCGTGGGTTCCGTGCGGGTATGGGGTCTACATCTACCTAAATTCAAGGCGATTGTTTCTCCTCATGAGCATCTCGTACTATTCATCGAGGAGCAAGCCGTACGATGCCATCGCAGTCCACTGCCAACCATCAAGACCTGACGCGGACGCTTCTGTCCCTGTTGCGCTCGATCCGAGACGGGAGGTGTGCTTTGATGCGCGGCGGTTCGGCTCAATGAGTAGTCGCCGATTGTCAATAGAAAAATCAAGGGAACGATCCTCAGAGTCGGTATCCCGTTTTCTCGGATTTCAGCTCGTCGGAGCTCCTCCCATTGCTGGAGCATAATGGTCGTCTGATAGAGCGTCGAAAATCGATCGTTAATTTCGTTGAGGAAGACAAACAATGATCTAATATGCATGTCGGCTCAACGATGGGTACGCGTGCAAAGCAGCGTTGAGCGATGATAATACGTATCTCAGATTGAGGGACTTCCTAAGGAGCATGATTCTTGCAAGACGATCCGAAGGCCGAGCGGGGTATCACACGAGGGTATGAGGTTCACGCGAGAACCTTCATCGGAAGACGTTTGTCGGGATATTCCCATGGGTTTCCGGTCTTTCTCGGTATCGTCTCTGGATTTCCATAGCTTCTCGCCAGCTCATTCTCCATCTTTACGAGACTTGCGGAGGTCACGGATCTCCTCGCCGCCGTCGGCTCCAGATCATAAAAACTTTTGAATTGCTCAAATGCAGTCGGGAGTTACGAGCACAATAAGCTGCAATGATCGAAGACTTCCGACGCGCAGAATTTCCATGCGCGACGGGAACACGCGCCACTTCATCAAGAGCTCCCCTAGAAATGAAGCATATTCTCGGGCGGTTCGCCCACAATAGATCCATGCTCATGAGTAGAATAAACCCTCGTTCTTCGGTTGAACTCTCTGGACCTTCGTTCAATTGAATGTGCTTTGAGACCAGCTATCACCCAAGACTCGTACCCATGACTCATACGATGCTATCCAGCGACTGAGCACTCCGTACTAGATCTAGTGGCTCGATCCGGCAGGGCAAGATGTTCTGTGGTCTAAAAAGATGTTTCTTTCGTGTTTTTTTTCTGATGAAATCCCCCATCGACCCTCGAGGAAGCGTTGGAACCGTGATGTGTTCGTGCTCCTGGCGGCCCGCTTCTACTGATGAGTTGATGAGGCATCGTGTCTCGGCCTCACGAGGCGTCGGGTCGCTCTTTGAAATTTCAGCGACGGTCCGAGAAGCTTTCCGAGAGTACGGGATATCGGGACGTGAGGTCTACATATCGAGGAGGAGGTGCTCGATCCAGCTCATTGGTATTCAGAGAGTTCGACTCCACCATTTGAATGCAAAAACTTTGAAGATTGAGCTCCCGACGTTCACAAACGTAACCGTGGCTGAGCGCGGAGACATTCGTCGACGTCAACGACCACACGGGATGACCGAAGATGATTTGAATTTGAGATTCGACCCGCCGCACCATTGGGTCTCGGTTACGAAAACTGTACATTTGAAGCCTACGCAAACGTCTGCTCTGGGAAACCGAGTTCCCGTCTTAGTTGGATAACGTAGGACGCGCTGGATATCCTTCGTTGTCGGGGACATGTCCATCTGATCGGACTGCGCCGACTCACCAACAGCTCTCGTAGGGTTCGGTCAGACTCCGTGCATCCAAAACCCATTCGGAAACCTGGTGAGGGCGCTAAAACCTCGAAAGACTTTGATCCTCTTGCCTATGGGAAGGGCCACCAAGGTAACGGGGAATCCCAATGAAGTTGCGCGGCGCTATTCCCGAGGAAGAGAGCCCAAACCAGCCTTGGACGTATTCGGCGTTGAACGCCACACAACGGGATCCGCATCTTTCCCGAAGCCTGTGAGTGAAGGCAATGGCAGCAGCTTCTTCCGACTTGCTCGTACGGCGGCGCTGTAGC